GCCCTATAAATATGTAGAGCCTCAATTTGAATGACAAGAGCCCCTCTCAGTTTGCTGCCTTTGGTCTTTCAAACAACTAGCCCTTCTTTGATATCAAAGCCTATATATAGTGCTTATCCATCAGCTCTGGGAGCCTGAACTCACACTGACAGATTGCCATGAGCTGGGAGGGGATGTCTGCACTGGGATGGAGCTTCTATAGGGAGAGGGGTTCACAGTAACCCTCAGAGAGATGAACCTCAACCCCAAAGAGTAACTTTGTTTTTTTGGGGGGAGTGAGGGAGGGGGCAATGTAGGTGGCAGACTGCTCCGGGTTATTAAAGAAGGACCAATAATTCTTTTAAAAATAACATCAATAAAAGGTATTTCTTGAGATAGCTACCCCTTTTCTAGGAATTTATGCTGCAGATACCTCTGAGCTGGGCAAAAATCATGCTGCAGAGATTCCCTTCAGCCTTGTTTGGAGAGCATAAGACCAGAGAATAGCCCAAGTTCATGAGCAGAGAGCTGTCGGGTAAATCACACAGGACAGGACACGGATGTCACCGAAGGGGCCCAGCCACGCATGTGCCAAAAGAGAAGCAGGCCTGAGGCAGTAAGTAATCAAACACCACCCTTTCCTTCTGGGGTCTTGATTATGGATTCCAAGAGGGTATGCTGCTTGCTGTGGGCCCTGGGTCACCTTGAGGCCACAGTCTCACCTGAGCAGGTAGAGGAGGAGGAAATGCTCGTTTCATATCACTTTCTCTTCTACTTTCTTTATACCACAAACGCAAGAACAAATCCTATGATAATCTGCCGAAGCCCCACCCACCAGCAGACTTCTCACAGCCCAGTCAGACTTCGGCTGGCTCCACACTCCGGAGCCCCCACAGAGCTCAGAGGGGCAGGGCGCCAGGACAAGGGCTCCTTCCACTCCCCTGGTTCTGAGTGAGTCCGAAGTGGTCTCCGCAGACACTTCTTCCTGAGAAAGAAGTCTGAGATCTTTCTGGGCAAGATCTCTGGGGAGCACTAGGGAAACTCGCTTCCCTGTGAGGGTACCCTGCTGTCCAGGACCCGGTCTAGTTGTCTTCCCTTGCTGAATCAGTGTGGAAAGTTCAGACTGAGGCTGCTCTTCGAAGACATTTGAAAAGTGAAGAAAATAGAGTTTTGCAGACTCCAGTCACTTGAGTTTCTGAAAAACTAAAGAATAACTGAAACAAATGAGAGCTGAAGAAAGGTGAAGGGAAGGGACACTGCCCTTCTCCCAGCGGCTGACTCAGGTAAACCAGATGGACGCCTGGCCCAAAGCCCGACAGTGCCACGGGACTGTAACTGATCCTTTCCGTGAGGGTGTACACAGGGCCTACTGAATGGAGCTGGCATTTTCACTGGCCACTCCCTTCTCCCAAGCTAGCCATCTCTGCACTGTCATTCACTCTGCCGCCAGACCAGGGTTCTCAGGGTCACCTGCCACTGTAGCTCTCCCCTCAACCATCATTTCCAAACCCAGAGACTAGTTGATTTTCCTTCCAAACAGCTCTGATCAACCAAACAGCCCTCCCTGATACAGGCCCCACATGCTCTGGTGATCTCAACAGCTCCCTGTGGGGGCTCCAGACTCACTGTCTCCTTTACCAGCAGCCAGAGGGCTCTTGGGAATATGCAGGTCTAATGGGATTTCCTTCACTTAAAACAAAGCATGGACAAGAGAACAGAGTGTTAGCACTGGTGCCTGCCTCTGGCATGTCCTGTTACACGCACTGGAACCCCTTGCGGTTCTCCGGCGCGCACACACCCATGCCTAAGCCAGGGTGCGCTCTAGCCCGGATTGCTTTGCAAACCCTCAGATAATTATATTCACTCTTCAAGATCTAGTTCATTCATCAAGGTCTAGTTCAAGTTCTAAGATCTCTCCAAAGTTCTCCCAATCTTCCAAGCCCTCCCCTTTCCCCACCACCCCAAACAAGAAATCATTTCTTCTCAGTTCCCACTACATGCTGGACAGACCTCTGTGAGAGACTCATCAAACTACGTGAGTGTTAACTGGCTCAGAGTCTACCTGCCCCTGCTAGACCACAGGCTCTACCAAGGCAGAGCTGCCTCTCCCGGCGCTGTCTCGCCCTCGCCCCAGCACTCCCTCAGCCACACATGCTCGTGTGTGCGGATCTGGGGTTCTGAATTTTGAGCCATGGCAATGTGTGTGATACTTGCTGATGTTACTAATTCAGATACCAGACTTGGGAAGCTCACAGGGACGTGCTCGGAAGACACACTAAATACTTTTTCTCCCATGTATACTTTAAATGATTTTTTTCCCCTCAGCAATCCTACTTCTATTTTAAAAAATGGTTTAAAGAGCCAAGCTGAATCATCCGCATGGCTCCCATACAGACTGGGTAAACTCCCCACAGATTTCTTTCTCAAAAAGAATACAATAAAATTCTGTGATCCTATGATCCCTGAGGACACTTCTGACAGCTCAGTGGGACACAGTTCTAGCTGCCACTAATTGCTTCAACTAATTCTTAGAAGTTCTTTCCTGCAGCCTGTAATAACAGCTAACTCTTACCAAGCATTTCTTACTTGTGGGCTGTGTTCAACCTACAGCTTCTTACTTCATCCTCACAATCACTCTACTAGGGAAGGGATCTTACGGTTCCCATTTTGCAGATGAGAAAACTGGGTAAGGACAGAATAAGTAGCTGCTAGTGGCCTGCAGGGCTTGAACCCAAATCTATGAATCCTGAGCTAAATAGGCTCTTAACCACTGCAATCTGCTGTTCTCCCAAGAGGTCAAATTAAATGCACAAGGGAACAGATGCAGCAACCTCCCTACCCCCACCCCATGGCCTTCTGAGAGGGCAGGCTACTCCCCAGCTGCTCCAGCAACCTGCAGTCTTAGGAAGAGAAAGGAACATGTGGCAGGCAGAGAAGCACAGGGTGACGCAGGGAGTATCACCTGTCACCAGTTGCATACAGTGCTTTCTCAGCAAAGAGCAGTCCATGGCACTAACCCCTTCAGGGGCCAGCAGTGGCCTCTGAAGAGGTCTCCATCCTTCAGTCTCTCTTCTCTTCCTCCTCTCCTCTGGAAATAACTGTAAACTGTGTCACTCCTCTGCTTTTTCCCCACCACCCTGGGCATAAAGACGCAAATTATGTGACATTCCTTTGTCAACCTATTGTGCCTCACCTGGTACTTTGTTGACTTTCATACCACTGTATTGAACAAGCTGAGTTTTCTGGAATAACGTATGAGTCTATTTGTCTCTCTCTATAAAGGAGGACATCATGTGCCTTCATTGCAGCTAAGTCTTCCCATCCTAGACATCCTAGACACAGCTCCAGATTGCTTCAGCCAAGCCTTCTCCAATCTAGGCTGAGTAGCAGCTTCCTCCACTGGGCTCCCACAGCCCTCTGTTCCTCCTGCTACTAGCTTTTTTTTTTTTTTTTTAAGATTTATTTATTTATGCATACAAGAACTGGGGTACAGGCCAGAGGTGTGGGGCGGCGGTGTGTGTGTGTGTGTGTGTGTGTGTGTGTGGTGATTTGAGAGGATTCACCAGACAGAGCAGGGAGCAGAACACGCAGACCTACTGAAATAATAGCGGAGGAGAGCAGTGGGTGAGACAGGAGAGATGGGCTGCGCCATGTGGGTCACCTCCCTGGCGGGTGATCAAACTTATGCTGAGTGGCTGTGATGGCTTCATAGTGCTCCGATTTAATCCCCTTTGCTACCAGGGATGGCCCTGCTACTAGCTTTTTTAGATCACTTTTCAACTCTATGTTTACAGGTCAGCCGCTCCTTAACCAGACTATGAGCATCCTGAAATAATAGCCAACATTTACTGAACTCGTGTGGCAGAGTTGGGCTAAACAATGAGCCCAAGGTCACACATCTCTAGAAAGCTGCAGAGTCAAAATTTGAACTCAGGAAAGTGGGCTCCAAAGCCCACTCACCCACAGTGCTGTATGGTACACTTCCCTCTGCAGGTAAGGACACTGCTGTTGTCATACGATGAGTGTACACTCATGAATGAATGAATGAAAGCCACCTCCAGACTGTCTAGATCTACCCCACAACTGACATAGCAGTGCCTTAAAGAACCCTGCAGCAGTTCACAAACACTCTTTACAAACATGCTTTTGGCTGGACAATTACAGATACTGTTCTTAATCTCATGCAAAACCAAGTCAAGTAGGAAACGAAAACAGTTCAGAGTGACTACCCTCTTCACCACCGTTCTCAAAACGAACAAAGTCAAGCAATTTCCTCCTGTGATTTAAATGAAACGGAGCAAAGTCTATCCTGGCACAGAAGGTGGCTGTCATCTCTTCCGCCAACAAATGGGCATCAAAGGAGAAAGTAGGGGGTGGGAAGGAACCCCGAGTGTCCGGAATCCCAATATCCCTGCCTACCTACTAGAAGGTGGGACCAAGTGCCTTGGGAATGTGCGGGCCTGACCCACACAGCAGGTGAAACACTGGCTGATAGCAGTGTTTCAAGCGCTCTCCTTGGGAAATGCCGGCCAAACGCAGTACTGGCACGAAGGCAGCTCTGACCGCACCTGAACACCGCCCGGGATGCGAAAATTCCCCAGCAGAGATGTTGCCCGTGCCAACGGGTGAGGGATCCAGAAGGAAGCCTTGCTGGCTCACCCTGGGGACTCGTTCTAACTTTCAAGTCACTCTCGGGGTCATGAGGGAAGCAAGGAACGGCAGACGGGATCTCTCGCGAAAATCCCGGCTGGATTTAAACGCCGGTGTCTTCTCTTGCTGACCAGACGACTGGCCAGTGCCCACCACCCGGCTCCCGCGGCCGATCGCACCCGGCGCGCAGTAACCCCCGCTCCCGCCGCCCGGGAAGGGCAGACCCCAGCAGAGGAGCGGGCACTGTTGCCATTCCTGTCACACCCGAGGGCTTCGGGCTGTCATCTCGGTCCCACCCCACGGCTACGGAGGCCCGCTCCGCCACTCCGGGACCTCCCGCCCACTCCCCGCTCCGGGACCCCCGCCCTCACCTTCCCCCGGTGCTCAACGCTGCTCGCCCATAGTCCGTAGCCCGGAGCCGGGGCTGCTCGGCTCTCCGTCCCGGGGGCCGGGGCCGGGCCGGGGGCGTGGGAGCCGATCACCGCTGCCTCCCAGCGCAGCCGCCCGAGCCGCCGCCGCCGCCGCCGCCGCCTCCCTCCATGGCTGCGGCGCCGCCACCTGACAACGGAAGTGACGCACCGCCCCCTCCTCCCGGCCGGAGCCTCAGCCCCGCCCCTCGCCCGGGCTCCGCCCCTCGCCCGTGTCGGCAGCCCTGAGGTGGGAAGGTTGGGTGCCATCTTGACAGTGGGCGGAAGCATTCAGGCAAGAGGCCAGAGTCCGATCGAGGATTGGTTCAGGTTGGGGCCTGGGCCGAAGCCTGAAAAACGATTGGAGGCTTAGACTCCGAGGGGGTGGCACTTACTGCTTATCTGTCTCTGCGGTGAGGCTTGGACAGAGACACCACCCCCGCCCAGACTCACACAGCCTCGCGTGCCCTACACTGGCTTGCTGGGTTTGGAGGAAGCTCCAGGAACTGGAGGGTCGGCCAGTTGTAATGTATTTAGCAGAAAACTGGCTTTTCCTTGAACCCATTCCTCGGTTTCTGGACCTCTATACGGAGAGCGCTACAGTTAGGCTCAATAAACGACAGGAATTCCTGTCGTAACCTTCACAGTTCATTTTTCTCCGGGTCCCGGGCCTTTAGAAATCCCTGCAACCTGACAAAGGCTGCAGTCTTGAGCTGGGAGATTTACAGGGAAGAGTTTCTATTAACAATTCAGCCTTCTAACCTGCTGCAGTTTCGGTCCCTTTCTCCTCCTCCGCCAGCAACCACGCCCTCCATGAATCAGCTTCTTGCACCAGCGGATGAGCCCTTTAAAGGGATTGCATCAGGTTGGTGACTCATTGGGGCCCTCTGAGAGCCTGGCTTCCCTCCTCTGGCATGCAGAGCGGCTAGAAAGGCTCAGTGGCAGCAGCACCAGTGACCAGGGCCTCACTCCTTTGTCTCAGAGGTGTGAGCCAGGGTGCTGGCTGCATGTGACTAATTCCCGGTGTCTTTCCAGCTGTCTCCGGGTCACTGTCTATATGTGGACTCACGTGTCCAAGGTTGTGTGCACTGCTGGGTTTTCCTGGGGCCTGTGGCCAGGCACTACATGTATGCACATTTGTCATTTCCACACAGGCAGAGCTGGGACATGAGTTGGTGTGAGTGAGTCTGGCTGCTGCTTCCTCTGGTGTCCATTTCTTTGTTTCTGGAAATACCAGGTGCCTGCTGAGTGCGTCAGACTGAATAACAGCAGTAATCAGAACAGCTCCCCTTGTATCACACCCCAGGTTCAGCACTTTTTTTTTTTTAAGATTTATTTATTTATGCACACAGAACTGGGCTATAGCCAGAGGTGCAGGGGCAGTGAGAGGCTTCACCAGAAACAGAGTGGGGAGCAGAACAGGCAGATCGACAAGGTACACTGCGGTGAGACAAGTCTGCTGCACCATGTGGATCACCTCCAGGGTTGGGGATTGAACTCGCACTGAAGTGGCTGCTGCTAGTTGCAGTGCTGTGCTTTAACCTGTTGTGCCACCAGGGAGGGCCCAGGTTCAGTACTTTAATGACATTAAACTTGGTATGCTTATAAGTGAAGTAGCTAGCGCTGAGAGGGAAATTAACTTGTCCAAAGACACACAGCTAGTAATGCCTTGATTTGAGACCAGTCTGGCAGATTGCAAAAGGCTGAATTTGAATCTTCACCCTTACAAGCAGGGTGAATATGTGCAATTTCCTTAACCTTCCCTATCTGTCAGAATAGGGCCAACCCTTGGTAGGATTCAGAGAATATGGAAACAGCTTCTCACAAGACCTCATCTCTGTTACAGAGAGGCAACGAAGTGGATGACCAAAGTCAGGCATAAAGAAGGCAGGCCCTAGCCCCCTAACTCCTCTCTGACAAAGGGAAAAGTCTAGGGATTCCGGAAGCCCTGACTCTGACAGGAATGAATTTTGGGTTTTCTAGAGCTCTAATTATCAGCTAGATGAGTCACTTGAAGCTGACACCACCATCCCCACCCCCTGGAGACTTGCAGCTGATTCAAAAGAAAGGATTTTAACAAAGGAGAAGAGGAGGAAGAGAAAGAGAGTGGAAGATGCAATGAATAGAAATGAAAGGTGCCACTCAGAGGAAATGAAAAACTGTCACCAGGACACCAGTAGGAAGAGACCACTCACTCACACTCACACACACACAGTGACAAATTCTCCTGCTGGCTCTCCAACTCTGGGCATACGGCAGACAACGCTGCCATAACAAAGTGACGCCTGTCACAACAGCATGAGCTGATTGCTTGACAAGGCACAGGCAGATCCGCTTCTCACAGAAGGAGAGGACACCTTCGATCCAGAGGCGCTCCCTTGGGCTCTGAAAGTCAGCAGAACCTACTTACTGGCTGGCTTCTTGCTTCCCCAAGGCCTGGATATAGTGAGTTTTGAGTGCCGGGCCCACATTGGGGGGCAGGGGTGAGAGGGGCTGAGCACCACCACTGAGGTGAACAGAGGCGCTGCTTGTTTTGGTCATCAGTGGTATGTCCAGAAGTCTGGGCAGCAGATGGGTGTGTGTGGTAGTTAAGACCATGAAGCTTGGTTCATGCACACCTGAGTTCAAATTCCCTCTGCACCATTCACTTCCACCACGCCACACACCCTCTCCCAGCATGTTTGCTTATCTGAAAAGGTGGGTATACACAGATACCTCCAGGGTTGTGATGACAACATGAGAGGAGTCTTTCATTCCACAGAGATTTATGGGGTGCCCGCTATGTGCAGGGCATTCAGCTAGATGTTGGATGTCCAGTGGGTTCAAACAGACCAAGCTCTGCTCTCTGGGAGCCCCCAGAAGCCCTGGCAAGGGGCGTGCAGTGAGATTCATCAAGCAGTAGCTCTTTGGATGGCCACCTTGCCATTCACTTAATCATGAACCTGGGGGGCACCCTGCCCCTTTTCCCTGAGGAAAATGGACCTCAGCTTCCTCAGTTGTACCTGACGAAGTTGGATGCGGCAATTTTCAACCTCACCTCAAAGCCTCTTGTAGCATTTTCCCGCCATATGAACCTTCTGTGGCCCCATATATCTGCATTAATTATAGCTTGGGTTTTTGGAGCTTGTCATCAGGAAAAGCAAGTCAGTTGACCACCAGGCTGATGGTCTAATTTAGCCAGCTCTGTTAACCTTCATATTCTATGTGCTTTTTCTCTTGAAAGACCTCAAGGGACCCCAGCTGCCATCAGGAACCCTTCCACCAAGGATGCCAAACTGGAACCCACTAAAATGGGTGTTCTCCTTCAAGTCCCTTCAAGTTCATCCAGGTAAGGTGACTTCAAGCTGCATGTCCATCTAGCCCTCCTCAGAGCTGGGATAGCCTCCTCCAATGAGTGACCTTTCTCCTCTTCTCTCCAGGAATGGGACAGGAGCAGGGGACATGCTGTATCGCCTGAGGACTCCAAATCCTGGGGGCTCAGTCATCATCTGGGACCCCTCATTGATCTATGTGAAGGTTTGAACTAAAGCCCTGGTGATGATTTTTATAAAACCCAAACTTGGCTGGGTAGCATTTTGAAAGATATTTTTCATCTTTTTCTTACTGTCCCTGGGCCCGTCCCTTAAGCAGATGTAGAGAGGTCGGTAACTGCATTTGTTACTTTAGGAAACAAATGACCCAACAGAATCCAGGATTCATTTTTAGCTTCTGAATTCTCAAAACTTAGCCTTCAGGGATGAGTGGAAAGAATTTCTGTACAGAAACAAATTTAGAAAACTGTGTAACAAGGGAGATCTGGGAGCTGAGACTGGTCTTATTACAGGTCAGGGAGAGGGGTACCCTAGAACCCCCAAACCTGCCTACTCTAAATAGGTTCTGCCATCTGCCGCATCAAGACAAAACATGGCCTTGAATGGAAAGGAACTTTAATACAATTAGTGTGCAATACAGAAAAGATAAAGGATATAATTTCCAAATCAAGTACCCAAAGTTACCTATCCCATTGTGGTAAAAGTCCAGCTAAACAGGGTTGGCTCAAAGCAAGGCTACAAGTCTAAAGCACCTTCCAGCAGGGACCCATAGAAAAGGGTCAGAAACAGCCAGACAAGTCTGGGAGGAAAAGAGAAAAAATCAAAACCAAGATAAAAGCTGCTACTGTTAACCTTCCCACGGGTCTCTCACCCACATCTGTTTCACCCAGACCAGGACCAAGAAGCAAGTGCAGCTTCTTCATGTCTCTCTGTGCCTTATGCCTCCTGCAGGGCTCCTGCTGGCTCTCCCTCCTCCTGGCCAAAGGCCAGGTCAAAACAAAGACATCTGGCAGATGCCAGTATGACCACCAGATGAGCCTACCTTTCCCAGGCTTTGACACCTTGAAAGGAAGTGCCCTAGATTTCAACCAGTTCCCAGTAGGGAAAGTGGGATGGAACTTTAAATCAATTGCAATTAAGTTTCTGCCAGGCTGGCTGAGTGGAATGAAAAAGGAATTCAGTTGAGTTAGGGAAAATTCACATTATATTTCTTATACACCAGAATTGGGAACTGCTAGCACCCCCCTACCACAAGGCCTTCTATCATTTGCTCCTCTCCCATTTTTCAAGCCTCGTTCATCTCTTTCAGAGGTGCATCAAATAGTCACAACGGTCAGTAGGCCCTCACTAAAGCTGTCAGCTAGTCCTTGGAAACTGTGACTTTGAGATGACAAAATGAAAGCAGTTCCTTGAAAAACACTGTTGCAACTTCGGCTGGGATTTTTACTGACCAACATTACAATGAAATGATGCTGACCTAAGTGATGTTATATGAGGACCTGCTGTACTCATGATGACACCAGCCCTACAGGCCTTCCCACCTCAGGACCTTTGCACTGGCACTTTCTTCCCTTTAAGTGGCAGACTCCTTCTATATAAATTTCACTTCTTCAGATCACACTTTCCAAAACAAATCACTTCTACATTGTCTCTCATAGTGACATTGGCAAGTATTTTTTCTATTTCTGCTTATTGTTGGTTTTCCCCTCTAGAACGTTAGCTCCATGAGGGCAGGGCCCTGTCCATTGTTATGTTCCCTCAGTAGCTAGCACTGACTGGTGTTACTTGCAGATGAATGACAGGTGGCAACAGAGAATTCCTGGCTTGCCACAGGCTGGTGAGCACTGAGCTCCTTTGGCCCCTACATGGGCCCAGCATTCCCCAGCAGTCCAGGACCAGATGCCAAAAGATTCATATCCTTGGGGCTTGAAGACTTAGCTTGCTTTACCAGGGATTCAATATATCTCACTGGGGTCTGGCTCCCCTCCTTGCCTGACAATGACAGAGGGGGGCCCTCCCTGGTGGCACAATGGGTTAAAGTGCAGCACTGTGAAGCTATCTGCAGCTACTGCAGCAGGACCTCAATCCCCAGCCAGGGAGGTGACCCACATGGCACAGCAGACCTCTCCTGACCTGCCTGCTGCTCCCCTCAGCAGTGTACTTCATCAATCGGCCTGTTCTGCTCCCCACTCTGTCTCTGGTGAATCCCCTCACCCTTGCACCTCTGGCCTGTACCCCAGTTCGTGTATGCATAAAAGATAAATCTTTAGAAAAAGTGACAGGAGGGTCTGGTGTACCAAGGGTACAGACCACCTCGAGACAGTGATCCACACTGGCCTTCTCACTTCCCTCCCTGGCCTAGGGGTTTTCCCTTGCTCTGCTAGCAATGTAGAACCCCCTGGGATACCATTTCAGACTCAGAGCTAAACTCCCCAGCTTCCCTAGGCTAAACTCCCAGTACCAGCCCTCTTCAACAAGCTTGGAAGCAAGCAACCATGTGGGAAATGTCTGCCAGGGAAGCTGCAGTGGGGCACCTTGCCGCAAGTACATGAACATTTCCACGGGGAAGATCTCCCTTCTGTCCCCTGGGTTTTCTTATGGTGGTCACGTCTGTTCCCATAATTCAAGCTGTCGGAGTAGCCTGGAAACTCAGAGGCGTGGCCTTCTCCCTGCTTGCAGCCCGCTGTGCTCACTTGGAAGCAAAGGGCAGACTCTAAGGGGCGTCTGAGACCTACAGGCATTGAAATGGAGTGTGCAAAAGAATCATGGTGGGTGGCTGTTTATAGTACGGACTTTTGGGATCCAGAATCTGGTTCACATCTAGGGAGAAAGGGGACCATGAAAGTGCCTTTTCCAGACCACTTCAGCTGGTTCTGAGAGGCCGTCTGTTAGACACTTAGGGCAGTGCCTACTGAAAGTTAAATGGCCAACTATACCCAGGATACCAGGAAACAATTGCTAGAGGCAATAAAGCTCGAAAAGAGCAACCTGGGTGAGCAGGTTCTTCAAAATTGGCAGAGTTCTGGACATAAAGGCAATTCCCTAAAGTAGGCAGAACAATTCCCTGAAAAATACAAAGTGCTCCCCCCTAGAAAGGGAGGGGTGAGCCTGCTGAGTGACTCTTCAGTTACCATGGCAACTGCAGTGCTTTCTCTTCTTCCTGTCTGGAGGTGCAGAATAGGTCACAGCTTGAAATGAGACCGGGGACTCCATAAAAGCCAGGAGTCCCCCCATTCCCTTGCTCTTCCCAGGACTTTGCCCACCCAAACCTCTTTCCAGGCAAACTTTCTTTCTGTCATTTTTAGAAAGATTATTTATGCATACAGAACTGGGGTATAGGCCAGAGGTGCAGGGGTGGTGAGAGGATTCACCACAGAGTGGGGAGCAGAACAGGCAGATCATCAAAGTACACTGCTGAGGGGAGCAGTGGGCAGGTCAGCAGAGGCCTGCTGCGTCATGTGGGTCACCTCCCTGCCCGGGGATCGAACTCGTGAAGTGGCTGCAGCTAGCTTCGTCGTGCTGTGCTTTGACCTGTTGCACCACCAGGAGGGCCCTCTTTCAGTCGCTATTAAGAAATTTTCTTTGCTTTACTCAGCTATGACTTTCAATTCTCTCATGCCATTGTCAAGGACTGAGGAACCCCAAAACTTGACAACAGTCCAAGGACAATACCTTGATGAAGGTGAACATAATGACTTCAGCCCTCTTTCCCTGCATTATGTTAACTCTGGCACAGCAGGTTTTAGGCGGGACCCACCTTTGTTGCTCACAGCTGCCTCCTTTACTAGATTATAATCCCTTCTCCAGAGGACACCAAATCTCATTCAAGGCTGTGTGCTCAGCAGAAGACCACAGGCAGCCGCTCTGGGTGTTTGATGAAGACAAACTGTTCCACAGGGCTGAGCTGCCTTTCCTGAGTTGGTCGTTAGCTGGGGCAGGACTCTATGCCTGCAGGGCAGCTACAATAACTTCGGGCCTAGCCACAAGAACCTCTTTTTCCTGAGGACCTGATGACTCTCAGAACTGAAGCAGATTTCTTACGATTGGATGAACTCCCACACTTGAGGAGTCTCTACCTTAGGAAACAGTCTCTACCTTAGGAAACAGCGAGGAGACTTAACAGCCTCTTCAACGGGACTCTGACAGAAAAGCACTTTCTACCTGAACAGACTCTTCTATTACAATGTTCAAACTTTGCTGCATGTCAGTATTACCTGCAATCAAAAATCCCCACGCCCAGGCCATACCCATACCAGTTAAACTCAAGTAGCCAAGCGTGGGATGGGCAATTCCACTGTGCAGCCAAGGGAGACCCAGTGCCCTATGATGCAAAACCACCAGGGACTCCACCATGCACCCCAGAAAGCATGACACATGGGCCTGCTTGTATCTCAGTTAAGGATTTGGAAAAAATGAACACCACTGCAAAAGCAACAGAGACACTTGAGAGGTGGCTCAGGCTGGGCACATTTAATAATCATTACTAGAAGAGGGTTGAGAATTAGCAGATTTTCTAAGTCAGTACATCAGAGATTCAAATGTAGCTGATTCAAGGGGAAGAGGGTGGGGAGGATTGTCATTTCCGCCAAGGCCACAGAGATATAGGATTCTGGGTCCCAGGCTGAGTCTGGGAGGCAGATGCTATGAAAGGCAGCTGTGACAGGTGGTGTCCATAAAACACCGGTTACCCAGATTCTGGGCAGAGAGGGGCAGTAGGCCATTGGTTTAGTAGAACTCTGGAGGAACCTGAGTGTGGACTGGGGCTTGCTGGAGTATGAATAGGCTCACTTATACTTTTTGGAGAGAAACTCTCGCCGGCCCTGGCCCTTGCCACCAAAGTTGCGCACCCGGTGGATGATCTGCAGCTGCTGCTCGATGGTGGCGGTGATGTTCACGTCATCCGGGATGTGGACATAACGGACATTACGACCTGTCACAAAGAGGTCATCCAGCTCCACCTGATGCCCCCAACGGTCCGTGTAGGTGACCCCAGCCAGGCGGATGTTCATGAAAGCATCCACGTTGTCAATGCGTCCCCGGGCCACACTCTCATCCCGCAAGTCCACAGTGGTGACCTGGCCCTGGAGGCCCTGCAGCAGGATGATCAGGCTGTTCTCAGAGATGGTCCGCTCCTTCAGTGAGTGGCTCACGGCCATCCTTCCACGCCTCTGGCAGTGTGCTTTGACAGAAGCACAGATGGGAGCTGCAACAGGGGAGAGGGTGCAGTTGCCAACTCACCTCTTTCAGGTTCTAGCACAAAATTCCCAGCACCAATTTCCCTAAGTCTGCCACCTCCCCCATTTTTGTGTCTGTGTGTTACCTTTAGGAGGTCGGTACTTTATGTACACACCCCACAGACTCCTCATACTGTCTTGCAAAATAAAGATGATGTACACTCACTTTATAAATGAAGAAAGAATGGTTAGGAAAGGTTAAGTTAACTTGCCCAAAGTCACACAGGTGGTAAGTGTAGTGCTGGGACTGAAACTCGTGGCTTTTCAACTCCACCCCAGTGGTTCTGCACCCTCCCCATATTTTGGAATCACCCAGTGAGTTTTTACCTGGCCACCACACCCCAAAGGTTCTGACTCATTAGTCCAGGGGTGGGGTGCAGGTACAATATTTTTAAAAAGCTTCCCAGGTAATTCTAACATGTTTTCACGTTTCAGAACCATTGCTCTAAAGTGCTTCTCAAAGTCTGGCCTGTAAATTAGCATTTTCAGCATCATCCAGGTAATTGCTAAAATGCAGAATCTCTGATCTTTCTGTCCTGAAGGAATCTGCATTTTAACATGATCCTTAGGTGAATCACTGGTTCTCAAAGGCTAATTCGCATTGAAATCATCTGGAGAACTTGTAAAAACAGATTACTGGACTCCACTTCTAGTTTCTAACTCGTTAAGTCTGAGGTGGGCTCAGAATGTGCCTTTCTAGATGTTCCCAGTTGATGCTTTGTTGCTAGTCACACTCTAGAATGACTGGTCTATATCAGGCAGCTACCACATCCAAGTAGAAATGTAGGCAATTATATATATATATGTACATATACATATATATATATACACACACATATATATATAATTAAAAGGAGGTAGTTTATAAAACAAAGATTTTGACGGTAGACAAACCTAGGTTGGATCCTTACTCCACCCACAAACTCTGTAAACTCAGGACAGTTACTTAATGTCTTTGAAGATGTTTCCACATCGATTAAACCATAGGTTAAATGGGTCTAACAAGACTCACTTCATTGAATGTACTTTCCGTTGCTCTCAAGATGCCCTGATACTGGATTAACGTAACTCTGCCGTATCTACGTTATTTTCAGACCCCAAGAGGAAGGTGGTGGAACCTCGCACTCAGAATCCCAACAGGGCTGTGCAGGGAGGCATTAGGTGTGGGAAGCCAGACCACATCTCTGAAGGAGGTTGGAAACTGGGCTCCTGAAAGAGCCTAAAGGCTCCACCCCGATCCTGGCATCAGCAGGTCTATGTGATCAAGGGAGTGACTGATTGCAAAGACGCAGGCTTAGGTTCCAGATCCGGCCTTAGTTTCTTCACGTCTGTTAGACCATCTGCAAAATGGGGGTGGTGACAACCCTTTACTCACAGAGCAATCGCGGCGGGCTTGGGGCGGTGAGCTACACAGCATGCACTAGAAGACACGTCTTTTCCCCGCTTGCCCCGGGCTCTCCCGCGTTCCGCCCACGCGCTTCCCGGACCCACCGCTCGATTCCTTCTGCTTCCCCGATTCGCGTTGCAGCGGAAACTGCCTGGAGCACAAGCCAGCTACTCGCCTTGGGCCGCAGGGCTAAAAAAATCATAGCAACCCGGGGGCCCGCTCTATCCTCCTGGGGCATAGAGACCACATCAGTGCGCAGGCTCCGAGCCGCCTAGACGAGGCAGGAACTACAAGCCCCAGAATACCTTGCGGGACGCCGCGGCTCGCGCTCCCACAAGCCCCGGGCCCACGGCTTCGTTGTCTCTTATATGGAGTCGTTGGTTCGTTTGGAGTAATTCATCTCATTCGTTCGTTCGTTCGTTCATTCAGTATGCATGGAGCCCTCTCACTCTTTAGGCCCTTTTCCAGACTTTGGATATAGAGTGGTGGTTAAGGAGCAGACTCCTTCATGTGAAGACTCAGATCTGCGGGAAGTGGGAGTTTCCTTATATGAAGGCAAAATTATGATAAAACTTCTTGAAGGAATTAAAATAGGGTGATGTGATAGTGACTGGATGGTCATTGATGCCCTGAGAAGGTGACATTTGAGCCAAGATGAATGGCGTGAAGATTAATCATGTGAAGGCTAGGAGAGGGATTTGCAATTAGAAGGAACAGTTTGCACAAAAGGACATCGTGGAAATGAGCTTGACAGTGTGGAGAAACGGAATGGTCCCCAAGACTGGGGAGAACGGCGTGAGAAGGTCGGAGAGGAAGGCAAGAAACAGGGGATTTAGGGCTTTGTAAGCCAAGGTAAGAAGTTAGGATTTCTTGGCTAGGAGTGCAGATTCTGGAGACAGTGCCTGGATACTAGTCGGCTCCTTGCTAAGTGTGTGACTCTAGACCTTAAGATTATCCTCTCTGTTGCCTGGGTTTCCTCATATTTTACTAGAAGTGAAGTGATAGGCTATCAAAGGGGAGTATATTACCTGATTTACATTTTTAAAATGTGTAGCCTTGGAAAAGCTTTTTATCTTCTGTTAGCGCCAGTTTGTTCAGTAGAAAAAAAAAAAAGAGATAATGCCTATTTTAGAGACCTCTTGTCAGGTTTGAGTGACCTCATTACCCTGTGAAAGCACCTGGTATATAAGAGAAGCTCCCTAAGAGTCAGGTTTTTTTCATTTCTTCCTTCTTCCTTCACTGATTCCCATCACTCCAGGAGCCCTACCTTTGCACAGCAATTACAGCTTGTTTCTTCTTACCCTAAAAATATTGTCTTTCTCCTCCATGCAAGCTACTCTTGTTTTACCATCCACAGTGAGACTTCTCAAGATATAGCAGCGTCTCACCAAGTGTGGTCCCTTCCCCAACTTCATTGTTGTATGAGGCTGTAGTTTTTTCATGCAGTTTGCTTGAAAAACAAAAAAAAACACATCACAAGAGACTGAATGCAGAAAGTCACAAAAATCCTACTGTCTTATGGCCAAGAGATTTGCAAAAATATAAAACAGTCACTCTTGTTTTTCTCTTGGAAAACATTACTTTTAATATAAATTTATTTATTTATTTATGCATACAGGAACTGGGGTGTAGACCAGCGGTGCAGGGGGTGAGAGGAATCAAGAGACAGAGTGGGGAGCAGAACAGGCAGATTGTCTGAAATACATGTTCAGGGGAGCAGTCGAGGGAGACAGGAAAGGTTTGCCAGGCCATGGCAGTTGGCTGGGGATAGAACTCATGCTGCAATGGCTGCAGATAGCTTGATAGTGCTGAGACTTATCCCCTTGTGCCACCAGGGAGAACCCAACTTCTGTCACTGTCACTAAACCCTAAAAACTCTTTGAAATGGTGTCTCTTACCCTCCACTTTGCTTTTTATTCTTTTATTTATTTTTTTATGTATCTATTTACACCATTGTTCATTTTATAGCAATGTTTACCTCTCCCCTCCCCCACCTGTCATCCCCATAGCCCCCCAACATTCCTCCTCCTTCTGATCCCACTCTGTCCCCCTCCTCTGTAGGATCTCTCTGGTTTGTAATTGTTTGTTTTTGTATTGTAATAACAATATAACCCCCCGCTCTTACTTGGTTCTCTTAAATTCCTCCTATAAGTGGACCATTCAATATTTTTCTTTTTCCTTCTGACTTATTTCACTGAGCATAATCCCTTCCAGCTCCATCCATGTTGCTGTGAATGGCATGAGTTTATCTTTTTGATTGCTGAGTAGTATTCCATTGAATATACATATAGACCACATCTTCTTGATCCAGTCATCTAGTTTTGGGCATTTGGGTTGTTTCCAGGATTTTCCTATTGTAAGCAGTGTTGCGATAAACATAGGGGTGCATGTATCTTTTTGAATTAATGTTTTTGTGTCCTTTAGGTAGATCCCTAGGAGTAGAAATGCTGGGTCATATGGTAGCTCCGTTTTTAGTAGTCTGAGGAATCTCTACAGCTTTCCATAGTGGTTATACCAATTTGCATTCCCGCCAGCAATGTAGGAGAGTTCCTTTTTCATCACATCCTCACCAACACTTGTTGTTAGTTTTTTTGATATGTGCCTCACTGGTGTGTGGTTTCCCTTTTTATTCTAACTACTACCATCCTAATTGAGACTTTCCTTCTCTCCTTTGATCATAAAGTCATCTTACTGGTTTTTGTGTCATGTGATCCTTAGCTAACAGATTCAGAGTGCAGTTATGATCCTGTCATTTACCTGCTGAGAAGGCTTTTCAGTTTACTAGCAGAATAAAGATTTCACTGGTGTTTAAAGCTCCCCATGATTTTGATGTCGTTTTTGGATTTCAGTGTGTTTGGAGTGTGGGGTCCTTGGGTTCCCTGTAGCAAAGTTTTCACCAGAGTTCCCCTTTCAGCTGCTCGGTGAGTTGCCAGGCAGGTTTCTCCACAAGACAGAATTATTAATTATATTTAAAGAACAGGTTTATTAGAAAAGGGACAGAAAAGTAAAGGACACTTGTGTAGTTACAAGTGGGCAGAAAGAGCTGCCCCAAAAGGGGCAGGTTTGCTGAGAGAGGCCTGCATGGTTGCAGGTGGGTGGCCTTGAGGAGAGTGGTCTCTGCTGAGAGAGACCAGTAAAGAGAAGCCTTGGCAGGTAAAGGTACAGGTAGGCAGGTGGCTGCTGCTCTGCAGAGGGAGAGAGCTGGCGGAAAGAAGCATCTGCATAGTCACAGGTAGGCAGGACGGCTGCCCTTGCTAGGGTAGAGACCCTTACAAGGAGTGCGCCGGGTTCGTTGTAGATTTTGAAAGGGGCAGGAGATTCCACAATTGGGTCAATCTCCTTATCTTTACCTTTGGGTCTGTGCTATAGACAGTGCCTACAGCATCTGATACTTGCTTGGGCCTTGTGCTTTGTAATCTGAGCATTGGCACCTAAGGATCTTGGTTCCTATAGCTGGGTCAATGGCCATGCCAAACCCTCTACCCTCAATTCCCTGTGTGAGTCAGTCTTGTGATGCCTCCTTTGGGTTTTCTATTCCTTCCTCCATCAGTTTGATTCCAGCCTATCTTCCAGTTAGATCTCCTTCAGGTTCTCTACCCAAACTCTCCAATCAGTGTTTCTTAAAGTATGGTGTGGGAACCAGTTGCCTCCTGTTATGTGGAATGATTGTTAAAGCAATCCCAGGCCTGGGAATCAGAGGTGGACTGGGGAATCTATATATATAATAATGCACCTTATAACCTGAGACCACCTGTGCACCCTCCTGTCAGGCTCAGCCATCAGCAACCCTCGATGAGTCCTACGCTCATGCTTATCTTTGCATGTTAAATCTAGTATGTCTTTCAAAGCCTGGCACAATTGCTATACCCTTCTGAAGTCTTCACTGGTGAACCCGCTGGAGGGTTAGTCTCTCCTCTGGCCAGGCCTATAGTGTATTTCTCACTACATGCTTGTTGTTGCATGCAGATTCACCATAGTTATTTGCATAAATTTTACTTCTCTTACTAGTGTCCTGAGTGTTGGGACAGGGAGAGACCTTAGAGACCCAAATGCTTCCCATTCCAAACCACAGTCTCATGAAAAACACTAGTGCTTTGAGTGTGGTGAGAAAGGGCTAGGGACCTGAATGAGATTGTGATAGTGGAATGGAAAGAGAAGAGGAATGTTAAAGATCCTGAGAAGAGCTAATAGGAATTTTTGGAGGCTTATCTGGAGTGTAGGTGGAAGGAGGAGGAATCAATGGTTTAAATGGAGATGGTGGCCCACTGATAAGTGGGTTGAGGGTGGGGGTGGTATCATGCCTCTCATATTTTGCTAATCATTCTTTGAATTCCTTTCCCTGAGTTTGGTAAGTTTGGTAAAATCTAACATTCCATGATTTTCAGCAGAAGATGGGATTCTGTTTTCTGCTAGTGATGATTTAAAGGCCAGGTAATGTCTCTGGTCTCTTGCAGCTAAGCAGGGGCTGGTGAATTAAATTCAGGTATTATCGGACTTTAATTCTGGAGTGACACAAGCCAGCTGTCTGGGCTCTGGCTCAGCGTCTGTCACCTGCTTCACTTGGTGCCCTGATGCCAGGGGCTGTGCTGGCCTGTCCTGGGCTGCCTGTGCTTCCTCGGTTCCTGGCAGTTTTCTCATGACATGGTTCTCAGTCTCCCTGACAAGTCTGTGCTTTGCCAAATAAAATGCCCATTTAGAAATTCTTTCTCTACTAAATCACCCAGAATTGGTTTCATTTTCTTGCAACCAACATCCCAGACTAGTCCAGAGCCTCTTAATTGAGTTCATTTCAGGAGCCTTGACTTTCTCTGTTCTCTTTACGTGAAGTCTGTTCTGGCTCTGTTTCCAGCTGTCAGAGGATTCTGAGAGTTAGGGTGATTCCCAGGTCACCTGCTCTCACCACCCCGTGCCCAAGTCACCTTTATAGTACCCCACATGTGCTCCCCTAACCACTGCCCAGCCAACCCCAGTGGCCAACAGTTTACTTCTTTCCCAGGTAATTGGCTCCATTACTAGGAAACTTGGGGTAACTTCCACCCGCTGCTGCGAAGTCTTTTCTGAGTATTATACTTAATTTTAAAAGTTTCTTCACGTGTTTTGAAAGTGAAACAAATCCATTATATAAATTAAAATGGCATTGGTGTTAGGCATTAAGTGTGAAGTGATGTGGAACATTTCAGAGAAAACCTAACTACCATCCAGTTGAGGGGACCAGGGAGTCCTCATGGGCAGAAGGAATAGCTTCTGGAAAAAGTGGCGTAAAGCAACTTGAGGAGGAATACAAACTAAACTGGCAGGGCACATAAATCTACCATTGGTCTCAGTGGGTGAAGTAAGGGGAGGGGGAGGGTGAGAAATGGCATGCGTGATAGATGAGGTGAGGGATAGGGGATGGGGGAGCCAGGGATGAAATAAAGATCATCTATCTGGCAGTTGACCCAGCCATTTTGTTTTTATTTTATATTAGTTTATTTATTTATTTTATTTATTAAAAAAAAGATTTATTTATGCATACAGTGCTGCGGTACAAGCCAGAGGTACAGGGGTGGTGAGAGGATTCACCAGAATAGAGTGGGGGGTAGAATAGGCTGACTGATGAAGTACACTGCTGAGGGGAGCAGCGGGCGGGTCAGGAGAGGTCTGCCGCGCCGTGTGGGTCAGCTCCAGGGCGGGGATCGAACTCATGCGGAAGTAACTTTAGCTTCTTAGTGCTGTGCTTTAACCCGCTGCGCCACCAAGAAGGGCCCTATATTAGTTTATTTTTACATTATTTTGTGCCTTTTTCCATCTCAGTTGTAATCCCTGTGGACTTCCCATGATCAAATTACCTGTGTGCCATCACTATAGTCCAGTGTACTTCCCCCCAACCCCCACATTTTTTAATCCCATTTCCCATTCCACCCCCGTAAAATGTCTCTGGTATATTGTTGTTCATTATTATTATTCCTCCCACCCCCAGTCCTTTATGCTCCTGCTATGAGTGAAACCATCCGGTATTTTTCTTTTTCTTTCTAGCCTATTTCACTAAGCACAATCCCTTCCAGCTCCATCCATGCTACTGCAAAAGGCATGAGTTTATCTTTTTGGTTGCTGAGTAATATTCCATCGCGTATATGTACCACATCTTTTTAATCCAGTTAACTACTTTTGGGCATTTGGGTTATTCCATGTCTTTCCTATTGTAAATAGAGCAGCAATAAACATAGGGGTGCTGGTGTCTTTTTGAGTCAATGTTTTTGTGTCTTTTGGGTAGATACCTAGGAGTGGGATTGCTGGATCCTATGGAAGCTCCATGTTCAGCAGTTTGAGGAACCTCCAAACAGCTTTCCATAGTGGTTCTACTCTTTGGAGAAGTGTCTTTTTAGCTCTTCTGCCCATTTTTTGATGGGGTTATTTTTTTGTTTGTTTCATCATTTTTTTGTATATCTTTGTGATCAATCCTTTATCACTAGTTTTGTGTGAGAAAATTTTCTCCCTATCAGAAGGATATGTTTGTTTTTTGTAATGTCTCTGTTGCTGTACAGAAGCTCTTTAACTTGATGTAGCCCCAGCTGTTTATCCTGTCCTTCACTATCGTTGCATTGGGTGCTGTATCTTTAAAGATGTTACTGGAGCGGGTGTTGTGTAGTGTTTCATCCACCTTTGCTTCCAGGTATTTTATAATTTTGAGACCTGGCCATTTTGACAGACCTTTAAAAATGGTTACACCAACCACTCTGTAACATACAGGATAATAGTTAATCAGAAACCGCTCAGGGATGGCCCTCCAGGAGGTGCAATGGGTTAAAGCACAGCACAGTGAAGCTGTCTGCAGCCACTGCAGCACAAGTTTGATCCCCAGCCAGGGAGCTGACTGACCCACATGGCGTGGCAGACCTCTCCTGACCAGCCCCCTGCTCCCCTCAGCAGAATATTTCAGTCCATCTGCTTGTTGTGTTCCCCACTCTGTCTCTGGTGAATCCTCTCACCCCGCTCCTTATACCCCAGTTCTTGTATGCATTAGTAAATAAATCTTAAAAAAAAAAAAAGCTGTCGAGGGGGAGAAAGGAAGTATGGTCAGGTTAGAATAGTCTGACCTGTGCCACCAATGCCAGGGGTAGAAGAGTTTGAGAAGAAAAGGGTGAAGGGTGTTTAGCAAGCCAGGAGCCCTGAAAAGTCAAGGCGAAGAGGAAGGAGAAAGGCTGTGGAGTCCAGCAAAGTGGGGCCTGATCTGTAGTGGTGGAGAAAGAGGTTAAGGGTTGGGGAGGCGAGGGGGAAGCCTGGCAGGCTGGAGAGGAGCCTGGCAGCAGCCAGAGGAGAATTAGGATGGAGAGAAGCTGCCTCAGGAGGTGTGGGGGAAGCCTGAGTTCTTTGGATGAACACCTGACATGAAGGAAGGGGATAGGTGTGTAATAGGGTGGCCCCCAGGACAAGGGGCAACTGAGGAAAAGAGGCACAGATGAAAGACATATTGGGTAGAGAGGACTGGGACAGTAAACAAACCAAGCATTATTTTCTCCATGGTAACGGAAGTTTCGGCCTGCAGGATATCCAGAGACCTGAGTCAAATAACCTTGGCTGACGTCATGACTTCCCCATGGACACCTGAGCAAACACTGGCCCCAAGGTTTCAAAAGTTCTTCAAAGCTTTATAAAAAAGGAGAGAGTGACCCAAGCTCCCGGTGCACACCTGGGGTTTGGGAGTCCTGGCTTCTGCCCCCTGCCCCTCTGGGGCTGTGCTGCTCTGTGCGACCTCGAGGCCAGTGCAGTTTGGGGAATTAGCAGGAGGGCACCACTGGTGAGGAGCAAAGGGGCAGCAGAGAGTGTGTGGGGGGGTGGTAAAGTAATTGAATAATCCAAAGAGGTTCCCTGTGTGTGTGTGTGTGTGGGGGGGGGTGGTAAAGTAATTGGATAACCCAAAGAGGTTCCAGCAGTCTTTGGCTGTATTCAGCATTTCCACTGGAAAAGGGGTGAGCTATGATCTAGAATTTCCATGGAGTCAGGAAGCAGAAGGGGGCAGGGCAGCTGTGAAGGGACAGCCCTCCGCTCACTCCTGGTATGTGCTCCCTTTAATCTCCTGGCAGGTATTTGGCACCTGAAAAGGAGTTGTTTGGGGCATAACTTACAGGGGCTAAGAGGAATGAAAGGTGATGTAAGTTTTCAGATTTAATTTGGGTGTTTATGATTAGCTATTGGGTTAAATACATCTATTTTCTAAAACTTGCATCTTTCTGTGGTTGCTTGTGATTTGAGGTGGTCTCTACATTGAACCCAAAACTGGTTCTTTTCTTAGAGATGAGGGAATTGAGCCTTGGTGAGGCATGAATTTGGGGCAAGGGTGGGACCAGCTTGGTGTCCCAAGCTGCACCCCCCCTGAAGCTGGGCATTGTTGTATGATGTGTCTGTTACCTCAGGCCTGGCTTTAATGTCCGCAGGTGGCGCTGTTTATGCCCGTCTGTGTTCTAGCCTCCTCCCGACTTGTTTTTTTTGTCGGCTCTGAACCTCCATGCAAATAAACTTGCTTTTCTCAATATTTGTGCAAGTCTAGAAGCATGAAACTCACAGATTGCCTCATCACAAGGCTGCTTCACCAGAGATCTGTATCTTGTTTATTTACGGAGAGGATAGATAGGTTTGAAATCATCAGCCTCGCCTGGGCTAGGCAGAGGGAGGGAGGAGCCTGCTTCTTGGCAACTCGCGCCCACCTCCAAGGCCCTGGGAATGCTGAAGACGACAGTAGGGTTCGGGTTTGTAGCATGGGACAGAACCTCTGCTTTCATCTGTCACCCCATTGGCCCACCCTTGTTCAAGTAGCCAGCTTGCTTAAAAGAGATAAAAACAGGCAAGTTGTAAGCCTGTAACAGGCACCAACCAGCTGTTTTTTCTCTCCCCTCGCCTTTCTGGCTATTCCTCCCATAGGATTCCATGAACCTTGGCCTCTGGAGGTTGGCTGCCTATTACTCAGCTCCAGGTGAGCATGTGGTGGAAGGTGGACACTGTCCTGAAACAATTAGGGCAGCCCTGGTCTGAGACAGTGCACATGAATGTCAGCCTGGTATCCTGCTGAGCCGCACACCATGGTCCCTCCCATGTCTCAAACCCAAGGCCATGGGGCAAGAGTTGTGTACCCCAGGCTGGGCATCTTTAGGAGGCAAGGACACTGAGTGGCATGATGAAAAGCAAAATGTCTCCTTGGGACATGACTCCGTCTGGGCTAGGCCACAGGCACACTTGGACAGAGAGACGTGCAGAGCCCCCCAGAGCCCCCCATGTGCCGAGTGCCCCCCATCACTGCCTTGCTATTTTGCCTCTGAGGGGACAGTTCCTAGTGTGCCAGGGAGAGGAGGGCTGTCCCCAGTGTTCCCCGACTGAGGTCCTTGCCTTTTCCGCTTGTTTCAAACTCACAATGCCAAACACATCCCAGAGAGCTTTGAAGTTTTGTGACATCCATAGGCAGCTGTGAGCTGGTGGTCCCCCCAGTAAAGCTATAATTAAAAGTGATAGCTGTGGCCCTCCCTGGCAGTGCAACAGGTTAGGACACAGCACTGCGAGCTCACTGCAACTGCTTCAGTACGAGTTCGATCCTTGGCCCCGGAGGTGACCACATGGTGAGTAAGACCTCTCCTGGACTGCCCACTGTTCCTTCAGAGGTGTACTTTGTCCATCTGCCTGTTCTGCTCCCCAATCTGTCTCTGGTGAATCCTCTCACCGCCCCTGAACCTCTGGCCTGTACCCCAGTTCTGTATGCATAAATAAATAAATCTTTAAAAAAAAAGTGATAGCTGCAGCACCCCCTTACCAACGTGGGGGCTTGAACCTGCACCTAGAATGCTTGGCATCATTGCCATAAAACGAGAAAGAAAGTGGGAACAGTCCTATTTAAAAGGCAGACTATATTTTGATGAAAATACTTGTATGTTGTGCCTCCGAGTGTGTGCCTCCTCCGAGTGTGTGCCCCTGAGGGGCCGTGCACAGTTCTCACAACATAAACAGGAACTGAGGAACGGCTTCAATCAGTCCCAAGCCAGCAGCATCCTCTTAGAGCCCGGGGCACCCCCTGGGGGTGCTTGTCGAGCAGCCTCTCGCTCAGGGAGGGAGCTGTGCCTGATCAGGGCAGCTACAAATCATCCATCATGGCAAGTAAATCATCCCCTTTGCTGGTGCTCCGCTTCGGTTGGTCTGTGATCTCAAACTCCCCCATGATCCGAGCCAACTCTTTGTTCCTCTGCTGGTCCTGTCAGAGGAAGGAGAGAGACCCGGAATGAGGCTGTGTGGGCGGCTCGCCCCTTGTGCAGCAGGCACCTGGTGCCATCCCACCGCTGGGAGGCGCTGCAGCTCCTCGCCCCACAGTTGGAACAGGGGCTGAGTTGTTTACTGATTAGGGAGAAGGGTGGGGGAGGACTGTGACATTCAAGGCTTTAACAAGATGGGGAGGCGAATGAGATTTGACTCGTTCAACTCCCTGCACACACCTGGGTTGCCTGTATGTTGATAACTTCATAGGACAACTCTTCCGGCCTGGTTAGTGCGGCTTCTCTGCATGAGACCGTGGAGAAAAGGTCAATGGTTAGGGTTCTTCCCCGCCACCCTGGAAAACTGGTACTTACTGTTGGCAAACTGTCTCTTCACAGTTCACCTTCTGCCAGTTACTTCCCTTTAACTTTCTCCCCATCCCCATCCAATCAATGCACTTGACACTCCAGAAAGTCAAGTTTTTACATCTTTATGCCTTTGTACCTACTAAATCCTGCCAAGAGTGTTTTCCCCCTCCTGGGCCTGGCAACCTCCAAGACCCAGATCGGATGCCAACTCCTGGGATCAGCCAGCTACATTTCTTCCACTAGCGCACCGATGGCGTGGCACTGAAATGACCTAGGCACACATCCCTCCACCCTGGGAGCTCCTGAGGACAGGCACCCTGGACCCTCGCAGTGTCCGCCACAAGGAAGTGCACAGTAGAGGTCAGTCTGTGACTCAGGAAATAGAGGCCTCCCCCACCCCAAGGTTTGATTGTGAGGAGGATCACATGAGATAATGAATCAAAAATGCTTTGTAGGCTGTAAAGCACTGTAGGAATCGAGTGCATTGATTCCACTGGATTTTAGGGGAGACTCTTTAAAGATCTCACACTCCAAACACTCCCTGGCTTTCTAACAAACTGTTCTTAATATGACTATCTTCACCACTGACACATCTTGTTCCACTGTGCTCTGCTCAACAGAATGTTGGAACTATGTTTTGAATGAACCCAATAGGTTCATTCAGGTTTTTTCATGCTGGGGGATTCTTCTTTAGCTAGGATATCGAATCTGCTGGTATTTCATTTTTGATCTTCAAATCTGTATGTATAAGTGTCACTGGTTAATAACTGTCATAGTTTGGTTCTTATCACGCTTACAATTTTAACATCTGCCTTTAAAGAAACAGGCTTAAAACATACTCCTCCTCTTCATCAGTGGTAAAGAGATTCAATCGGAATCTTGGCTCTGGACCTCTGGGTTTCTTAATTTCCATCCCTCCAATCAGCCTGGCCAAGAAATTCAGCTCTTCTTTAGCAAGAGGGTTTGGAGCAATGCTTTCCTGCAGAAACAATTTCATGATTTTTAGCCACATGAAGGTGCTCACATTTCCTCTGAGACCCCAGAGGCTTAGGGTGGTATTATAGAACAAGGCAAAACAATAACTGTTGCAATTATTTCTGGGAAGAACTGGGTCCAAAGAAAGCAGAGAAAACAGGCATAAAAAAAAGAGGAATAATTCACATCAGAAGCAGAAGGATTCTAGTCAGGCAGCAAACCAGTGAGTTTCACACTTTCAAGATGAGTGGGAGGCCCCAGGGATCCTCCTTCTCCTCAAGTGACCTTCCTCCTTGAAGGAGAAGAACATTTGCTTCCTCTTCAGTCAACCTAGTTCCCTCAGCATCTACACAAGGCCTTAGTCAAGGTTCCAGCGCCAGGGGATGGCGGCTGTGGCAGCTACCATGCTGCCCTCTGGTGGTGAAGGTAAGGAACACCCCACGTGTTTCCTCCAGTCTTCCCACTAAAGCCTTCACCCCCGCTCACCCCCACTCACCCCCAAGCCGGCTCTCAGCTACCTTCCCCAGCTCTTCCCTGGCTCTGCCACGCCACATCTAAGATATAGGCCTCATCTCTTATTTCTCTTGCTTGACATGACCCCCTCTGCTCATGCCTAAGGGACCAGATCCAGATTGTTGGAGTCCTTCCCAAGTACACCAATGACCTTGTCCAGTGGAATCTCTGGCCACTGGCTTATGCCAGGATTCAGCCACGCAGGAGACACACTGCCTGCTGACACCCCCAAACTGTATGCTCTTTTTCCCTCTGTGCATTTGCTCATAGTGTCACTTCTATTTGCAGGCCTATCTCTTCCTCTCTGTATCTCATTACTCCAGAGCCCCATTAAACCATTGAATGCCTTTTTGATCCCCATTCCCTGTCTCCCAATCCACTGGACTGAACAAATGTTCTTCCAGAACAAGTATTTGTTCAAGAGACCCAGCAAGCTCTTCCTCCACCTCCCTGGAGTCACTGGTCTCAATGGCTCTCTTCCCTGGGGGACTATGGGCCCCTTCAGGATGGAACCGTGGCTAAGCCAGATTTGTGTCCCTTTGCAATCAGCCCATGGAAGTAGCTCAGTGTCTGCTGAATAACTGAATATTCTGTGACATGTCCGATGGCTGGCTGGCTGGCTGGCAGCCAGTTTGGTGAAGGATTGCGAATGTGGAATTCAGAGAATCGAAAACTCCATTTGAATTTAGCTACCACCTTCATTCTCGAGGAAACATTACACGGGGATGTTTTACTTATTCATTTTTTGAAAAGGGCTATTTTAATGACCAGAACACACACAAACACGGGACTCAGCAACAGCAGACCTCACAGCACTGGTACAATGCTGTTTTCACATGTCCTGGTGTGTGGTTCCCGCTTAATTATGGTGGTTGAACCAAGCCTAAAATTACCTAATTAGTCAGATCACTGGAAGTCTCCATGAGAAACTACAATTAAAAACCTGTGAGGCTGAATCGAGTAGATTGCTAACAATGAGGGAAATGCTGGCTAGCTTTGAAACCTAAGAGTTCCCACCCTCCTCCCTATCCCGACTTTTGCATCAGAAGTAAGCTCTGAGGATGAAGAAGGGAGGCAGAGTCTCACCTGTGCTCGTGAAACTAAGTTCTTTGATGCTCCAGACATATGGGTTTCTACAGGCCGATTCACACTGTACCTGGTGGCAATAGCAATAGGTGAAAATGCAGTCCAGCCTTTTACACTGACTACCTTCTAACCTGTGGAAAGAGCTCAAGAGCTCATCGCTCTTATTTTAGACATTGCAAAGTATCCAGAATTCTTCTGTGTCCACTATTCAAATTTCACTTCTTCCCCCAAAGAAAACTATCTGAGGCGGTTGCCTGGAAATGCCTTCTTTGGCAGAGTAATGTGTATCACTGGAAAAAACCACATGAAGTTCAAATCTTTCTGGATCTCTGCACAACAAAGGTTTTGGCCAGTTCTCTTTCATGGCTATTTAAAATTAGTTCTTTTCAATCCATGGAGGTGCCCCTTGAAAAGGACAATGCTCTGCATGGATCCTTTTTTTTTTATTGTGACAAATATATATTTATTATTATTACTATTATTTTAGTTTATTTTTACATATTTTTGTGCATTTTTCCATCTCAGTTGCAATCCCCTTGGGGTTCCCATCACCAAATCACCCATGTGCCATCACCATATCCCAGTCTGCATGAATTGTTTTTAAGCACAAATCAAGCAAGATATTTAAAACAAAGTGACTTTTCTTGGGCTTGGATTCATAGGAAGGGAGATTTGCTTACATATTAGTTCCCAGTTGCAGAACTCGGTCTCCGTAAAGTTCAAAAGAACCTTCTTTGGGTGCAGTGACATAGTTTCCACCGTGCTTGAACTCTACCTTCTTCACTTCATCGCCTTTGTGGTTGAACATTCTACAATACAAAGCATGACATAATGGAATATTCTCCAAGCTTGAGTAGTGTGGGAGGCTCCTTTATTCTTTGGACTATGGGACACAAAGGAATGCATGCACTCCTTCAAGATAAAGATGTTGGTTGCGGCAATAATAACACGAGGAGGAGAATAATGTTTACTGACTGCATGTTGCGTGTCAGCTCCCGCATCATACCAGCTCCTGTGTCAGAACCTCACAGCATCCTTATCTAACTTGTTCCTCACAGAAGCCATTTGGTAGGTGAGGAAGTGAATCCCGGAGACCTGGGTGGTTTGCTTCAAGTCTACCATGGGGCAGAGCTGGGATTAGAACCTGACCTTCTAACTGCTGAGCTTTACTGAGGAAAAGGACGGGCCCTGCTTTGGTGGTGGTCCACATAGCGGCTTCTGACACCCCTCACGTTGGCTTGATGATTGCTTTTGGGAATTCACCTGATGAGTCCGGGAACTTCAGTTCCCCAGGGAACGGGCCCAGACACTGGCAACACAAAGCGACCGTTGGAGTTCTGAACTTTGTCCTTCAGAAATATGGACACCTGGGGGGAAGATACACTTATTGTCATTCTTCCTGGTATATTTGCATAGACATCAATATTTCGAGGCTGGAAAGTGTATAGTGGCTTGGGAATGCTACCCATGAAGTCCTTAACAAGAAGAGAGGAAAGCTCACCCCAGCTAACATCCCAATTACCGTGTAGTTACAAAGAGAACACCTTTTGAGACGCACAGTGCATCTCCCAGGAGGGTTGTATGACCCCCTGTTCTAAGGTGAGGAGGCTGAAGGTCAGAGGATGAAGTGGCTTGTCCAGAGAGAACAGGGCCAGGAGTCAAAACCAAGGCTGACTCCCAATTCCACCCAACTCCATGGTTCCCTGATCACTTTCCGTCCAGCTGTGAGGCTAAATGAGTCCTGAGGGCTCCATGGGAACTGGCAGCTCAGCGGTTAAGACACTCTCTCCAGGCTGGTTGGCTTGTAAGTGGTAGAGCTGAGGTCTCAAACCCTGTACTCTTTTAAAAAAAGATTTATTTTTATTTATTGATGCATATAAGAAGTGGTGTATAGGCCAGAGGTTCAAGGGCGGGGTGAGAGGATTCATCAGAGACAGTGTGGGGAGCAGAACAGGCAGACTCACTGAAGTACACTGCTGAGGGGAGAAGCGGGTAAGACAGGAGAGGTCAGCTGCATCATGTTGGTTAGCTCCCTGGATCGAACTCATTCTGCAGTGGCTGGTGATAGCTTGACAGTACCAATTCTTTAACTCGTGTGCCACCAGGGAGGCCCCCAACCCTGTACTTTTAACTCTGGAGCCTGAGCTCTTAGTGAGAAGGGGCGGATCTGCTGGGGGAGCTTGAAGGTCTTTTATGAGAATATGCTGAAGCAGCAGATTCTGCTTTTTTTTTTTTTTAAAGAATTTTATTTATGCATACAAGAACTGGGGTATAGGATAGAGGTGTGTGTGTGGTGGGGGATGAGAGGATTCACCAGAGACAGAGTGGGGAGCAGAGCAGAGTGGGGAGACTGAAGCTGTTGCGGGAAGCAGCAGGTGGGACAGGAGAGTTCTGTTGTGGGTCACTTCTTTGGCCAGGGATCGAATTCATGCTTCCGTGCCTGCAGGTAGCTTCATAGTGCTGTCGTTTACCTGTTGCACCACGAGGGAGGGCCCCACTTTGCTTATTTCTGCTCCCTGGTTTGTGCATTCTGTGTTGGTGTCTTGGTCGGATTAAATGCCATAAAGAGTGTATTAGTTTGATTGGGTCTTAGCTTCCTCATCTATAAAATGAGATTGTGTTTGTCAATCCAGAACAAGCATCTGCTACGTGTAAGGCTGGAGATACAGAGTGGGAAGACTTTATATGCTGGCTCTGGCATGCTCCTGGCTCAGCCAGCTCACCTCCTGGCTCTGGCTATTAGGTAAGTCACACCCTCTTTCTGTACATCAGGTTTTCTTCGTTAAACAGGGAACTTGGGTTAGTGTGATAGCTAAATCAGATAATGGGCAAAAAAAGTTATCACAGAGCCTGACACAAAAGAAGTGCTCAATAATGGTAGAGAATATTCTCAGTCGTCTAATTGGAAACAGGACACACGTAAAATGGAAAGACTAATGCTGTAAAGCAGGATGTGCTGAATACACAAGCATGTTAGCTCACTGACAAGGACTGCAGGCATGTGGGGGGACGGGGCAGGGGTGGGGGTGGCTGGCTGGGTGCTGGGTTGGGGGAAGGAGGGCGTGAAGACACTTTAGCGGCAGACATGGCAGACATGGGTCGGCACCAAGCATTTTGTGGGGAGAGTGAGAAAACTGGTTTGATCAGAGTTTGTCTGATGACCTTCAGGGAATTTTTAACCTTGGAAATTTGGTGACAAGGGATGTAAATACAAGCATGGAGAAAGAAGTGGGGATGTAGATATATATATTTCCACATTGTCTCCTGATAGTACAGAAAATGGATGAGGAGTTGTGGATTTGCTTTGGTTAAACAATGAGCAAGGGAGACCAAGGCTGTATTTTGGGATTTAGATGGTTGGTTTTGCTGATAAATCTAAAAGCTATCGAGACTTTTGGAAGCAGAAAAATCTGCTGAGCCAATTATAAGTTGCAGCTGAGCAGAAATACCATTAAAGATCAGCTCTAGAAAACCACCCAGATGTTATAGATCAGTGGCTAAATATTGTCAAGATACATGACTCCTACTTCTCTTGATGAACATTTATGATTTCATTGCCTGTTCATCTAGAAATTAATGCCTAATATATTTTGTGGCTTAATACATTTTAATGATTTTATTATAGTCTTATTATTAGGAAAGTCTTTTCATTATAATGAATTTTATCTGGTTGGAACTGAGAAATCAATATGGCTGCTTATATTACCACAATCCATAAAATAAAGTTGAAATATGCTGTCCTGATAACACTATGATACAGAGTTTTTCAATATTTTAAAGCAATGAAAAATTGAATCATTTGTTCTTTTATATATTTTATTTAAATTGATGGTTGCTAGAGACCTTAATTGTATTGTTATTTTCCCATCCATAACAAATAAAATTATTCATGTGGGTTAAAAATAAAATTGGCGCCAGAGCTGAAACTGATTTGTCCTCCTCATACTGTGGCAGGGGAAAACCAGCAGGCACTAAACATCTTCTGTTTTTCTTTTGAATTTAATTTTGTGAACAGGTTACCCATGTACATATACAGAATTCAAAAAGTCCAAGGGCATAGAATGGAGACTAAATATCTCCTGTACCCCTGCCCTCCATGCTGCCCCCCCCACTTCCAGCAGGCAACTGCTATAACCAGTTTTTATTCTACCCTTCCAGAAGTCTTCACGCTAAACACATACAAGCAAATATGTATGTTTATAAATGCTCCAGTTGATTCTCCCAACAGGGGCCTCCTGGTGGTGCAGGGGTAAAAGACAGCACTATCAAACTCTGGCCAGACACTGCAGCACGAGACTCAGCCCCTGGCCACCCAGGGAGCTGACCACAGGGCACAGCAGACCTCTCCTGTCTCACCCGCTGCACTCCTCAGCAGTGTCCTTCAGTAATCTGCTTGTTCTGCTCCCCACTCTGTCTCTGGGGAATCCTCTTACCGCCCCAGCACTTCTAGTCTGTACCCAGGTTCTGTATGTATAAATATATCCTTAAAAAAATAATCAGGAAGGAAGTGGGGGCAGGACTTGAATTTTGGAGACTTGTTCAGCTACTGACACTAGGTCGTGGGCACTGGCGGGTGCCTCGTGGTACGTCGGTGTAGACGCCGGCCTGCGTGGCGGCGGGAGGAAGGGTAGAGTGGAGGTTGGACTTGGAAGTCCTAGGGAAAGGAGGTGGTAGCCAAAGCAGGGAGGAAAAGCGATTCCCAAAGAGCTGGGGTTGGGAGGAGACAGAGGGAGGTGTAGAGCTAGGAGGGCGAGGAAGGAGCGTGCCTGCGCAAGATACGGGAATGCTGGGACAGCACTGGGCCTCAAAGTGTCTAGGAAAGCAGAGTTCCGTGGAGCCAAGAGCAGCCTCCCAACAGTGTCAGGTAAGAAGGAAAGCTGATAAAGGCTGAGATTAGGGTGGCGCCTGGAGAAGGGAAGACGCCCTATTTTAAAGAAACATGCACGGAGTCTCTGGGAAGGAAAGGTGGCGGCACTGTTTTCCTGGGCCCATTATAAAACTGCAGAGCTTCATTATCCGGAAGTTCATCATGGAGCCCAACACCAGGACATCACCTCTGGGCAATCTCAGCCTGTTGCCCGGTGCCTTGCACCTCGTTTCCCCAGGACCCAGCAGCGGCTGGGCTGTGCCTGCACTTACCCGGATGTGCAGGTCCTGGAAGAAGATGAGAAGTGTCTGCCGGATCAGCTGGAACTCCCCTGCAGAAAGACTCCCATAGATCTGCCGGAGGCAAAGCGAGAGCAGCATTTCGCTTTCAGAAGTGAGATGAGAAGTGCAGACAAGCAGGGGAGGCAGGTGCTCACAGGTGGGAGCCCAAGCAGCAAGGAGCGGTCTGGCTGCCCTGGCGGGGCAGGGGTGGGCAGCAGGGAGCCTGCACCTCTGTACCCCAGACGGACAGACCCCATGGTGCCAGGCCTAGGCAGCAGCACACTTCACCTCTCGCTGCCTGGGGAAGCTGTCCCCAAGATTTAGCAACCATGTACAACCGGTTCCCTTTCAGAACGGTTAGGTGAATAGCCAGGCTCTGTCACTGCTTTTCCAACTCTCAAGGCCACTGTCAGAAGGCATAAGATGATAATGCCTTGCATTACTAAAATGGATTCCTGTAGAATTTTAGCAATTTGGGGGAGGGTGGGAAGCTTTGCTACTCCTCATCCTGTTTTCTGCCCTAGAGTCTGCCTGTTTGGCTCAGAGAAATGAGGGCAAGGATTGGGGCTGAGGGGGTGAACTGATGATTCTCTTACTTCAGTCAGCTGCCGGAAAGTCTCATCCACTTGATGAAGGATGGTCGGGGCATCTTGGATGAATCCCTTGATGGCATCTAAGTGATTGAAAGTGACCAGCAACACATCCTTGGGTCGGGGACACAGCAATACTTGATACTTGAAAGCCATTGTCATCAGGTCGTAGAGCTGCCAACCCACACAGGGACAAAATCAATAGGATTGTAAAAGCAGGCATCAGAACTTCCAAACTATGATTCAGTCCAGCATTTACTTGGGCTTCTTATTCAGTCAAATCCACTATCACGCAACCCAAGACACTTCTGGGAATAAAACAGGGTGATGTGAATGATGAGGCTGGAGCCAGCCAGGACGCTGCCGGCAAGCAGTTCCGGTCGGCTTGTGTGCAGCACTGCACGTGTGTGCCAGGCTGGGACCCTGCAGCAGGGCAGGCCCTGCTCGAGAGCCCATTGCTACTAACTCATTGACTGGCCCGAGTCTGAATTTTTGCATCTGTAAAAAATACTCCCTAGGGCTCCAGTGTTTCAGGGCAGAGAGGAACAGATGAGATGGTAAGTGTGAAAATGGCAAGTGTACAGCCCCATCGCCCGATCAGAACACCGCAGAAGGATGACGGGTACTTAATGTGTGTCCACAAGCCCCGCGCCTGGTATGGGTGCCGGTGAATGATTGAGATGAGCTGTGCGGCCCAAGAGGTAGAGAGAGGCTTTGTGGAGGAAGAACACAGCTGGCTTACATGTTGGAGGGAACAGCATGAATGATGAAGGGTGGAACAGCCTGACTAGAAGGGACAGTTTATGTGGGCGGTAACGGGAAAAAATTTGGGTAAGCATGGCCAGATTCGGTTATTAAAGGGTTTAGAAACAGACAAAATAGTATAGATGCGGTGGCAAGCTGAAGTCTCCTGAGCTGACGAGATAAAAGTGTGGGTTAAGCAGGACTCGTCAGTTTGGGATGCGAAATGTGAAGGCACAGAGACACCCGAGTTAAGGAGACGAGCTGGTACTGGCTCCTCAGAGGTTTGCAACAATATCTATTGGTTGTAGGAGAGAAAGAAGTTTTTGTGGAGGAATCCAGACTGCAGGCTTGGATAAAGATGGAGAGGCTGGTGAAGGCAGGGACAGGAGGGTCATATAATACTTGGAAGGAAAAGCTGCCTGTGTGTAGCGAATACTTAATAGATGCGGGTACCCCAGACAAATACAACACTTTGAAGTCAGTGCCGCGGAAAAGGAGGATGCTGATGACCAGGGCAGAGAGGACTGCGGGGTGGGACGACTGTTGGGAGAAAAGTTACAAGCTGCAGGGTGGGAACAGAAATGACTGCCACCGAGTTGTGCCCATCACACGGACACTCGTAGCCTCCTCTGACTCCATTTCATCTTTTCAAGAACTCTCTGGGCAAGTATTTAAAAATGTAAAAAAATGAGGACATTTGCCTAATGTGGCATAGTTGGTAGTAAGTGGCAGGGTGAGAGAGGAACTCAGGCCCTGAAGCACCCTACACAGCCCCGTTTCTCCCACAAGCAGTTAGCCAAGGTGCACTGGACAGCATACAACAGGAACGTGTGGGGCTTGGGGCGTTGTGGGTGTGTGGGGGCGTATAATACTAGAGGCAGAAGGTCAGAACTCTGCCGTCATGGTCAAACTGGTAGTGTTTCGGACGCTGTACAGGAATGCAAGTCCAGAGTTTTTCAGTAAGTTGGGGATCTCACCGCTAGTAACTGGTAGAGCAAAGACTTGAACCTAGGCTTTTGATTCTGAATTGTGCCCTTTCTCTGTGGAAACTTTAGCCTTTATAATGACTGAGGAAGGAGAGCAAGCATATACGGAAGGTAATTAACGCCGCCCCCATCCACCTGCATGGGGCTAGGGCGTCACAGTATGTGTTTCTCACTGAGTCCTGCCAGTAACTGATGAAGCAGCTATTGTAAGTGAGAAAACACAGGCTCAGGGAGATACAGGTAAGTGACTGGCAGCAATTAGACACAGGTAGACAGGCTGTCTCCCTGAGGTTTCCTGATACCAGCAGTCAGACAGCGTTGCTTTTTCGCACCAGCACCCGCTGTGGTCCTCGTAATCGAGAAAAGTCACATAAAGAACTTGAAACGGTATTATTGTTACTATTATTTTAAAGTTAACTAAAGCCCATATTTTATTTAGATTTCATTAGTTTTCCCCTAATGTCCTATTTCTGTTCCAGGATCCCATGTGACATTTAGTCATCAAGTCTCCTCAGACTTTTCTTGGCAATGAAGTTTCTCTTATCTTCCTTGTTTCTGTGGCCTTGAGGGTGTTGGGTACTGATATTTGGTCTGTTATTTTGTAACATGACTGCCAACATACCTGTCTGATATTTTCTCATGTTAGATTGGGGTTTGGAGTTTGGTGAGAAAGATCACAGAGGAAAATGCTATTCTTGTGACACCACAGCAGGGCCACACTGCTCGCCCATGTGACATCACTGTTGGTGCTGACCTTGGTCACCTGGCTGGGGTCATGTTCGTTAGGCCTCTCCACGCCAAGGTGACTGTTCTTCCCATCCTCCTCATACTTTCCTATTGGACGCATGTCACTAAGTGCCATCGATACTCGAGGGGTGGAGTTATGCTTCACATATGCTATTTGGAGTTCTTCTGATCAGATTTGTCTATTCTCCACCATTTATTTATTTGGGATTATTCCTTTCAGGTAGAGGGCTCTAATAATTTGTCTCCATAGGAATAGATATGTGTAGGGGCCTTTCTGGTGGCACAAGGGGTTGAAGCACAGGACTCTCCACCACCACTGCAGGAAGAGTTCAATCCTTGGCCAGGGAGCTGACCCACATGGCGCGGCAGACCTCACCTGTCTCGCCTGCTGCTCCCCTCACCAGTATATTTAGCAAATCTGCCTGTCCTGCTCCCCACTCTGTCTCTGGTGAATCCTTTCACCCCCCACACCTCTGGCCTGTATCCCAGTTCTTGTATGCATAAATCAGTTTTTTTTTTTGAAGAAAAGAGATATGTGGACAGAATAAAGACAATAGTTCTGAATTTGTTAAAAACAAACACCTGCTTTGCAGAGCTGATATTTGTTAAGAACAAAGCAGGATTAAGGTTTTCAGGATAGGGGGCTTACATGTGTTCATAAATGCAGACACTGAAAGCATCATTCTCTTTGGACAGGTGCAAGTACATACGTGACAGAGGGCTGGTGCTGCCTTGGGACAGCCTTCCCAACTCTGAGATTTGGTGAGAACAACTAGCATTTCCAAGGGCCTGCTTTTCGCACTGTCCTCCTCTTATTTGACTCTGGGTCTCATTTAACATCCGCCTAAATACAAGAAACGCAGCCAGGGTGGTGGGAGAGAGGAGCTGCCGGCTCACCTTGTCCATGCTGGCTTGGTTCAGTCTCATAATGGAGGCGTGGGCCAGGCGGTCATAGACAGTCCTCAGGGCCTTCTTGGAGTAGAGCTCTTGGGGTTTGAACAATTCCTCCATAAACTTTCGATTGAACATGGTTGAGATGATGTCGTTCAGAACTGCAGAGATGAGAGAGAACACAGCTGAGCCAGGTTCTGGGGGCAGGAGTATTCAGAGGTGCTCCCTGTACGAGTGGGATGGAGGAGCTGGGCCCAGGCAGAGTGGGGATGTCAATGTGCTTGGTGAGATCTGGGACCCGCGGGAGTGGGGGGGCACTGCACAGGTGCCTCAGTAGAAATCAGGGTCTACAGTGTTTTGTGAGCCCATCTCAGGGCAAACATAAACGTGAGAACATACAATGTGTGATGCTTCAGAGATTATAAACCACCATTGATCTTATTTGATGATAGGGGATAATCTTCCTCTTTCTTTAACAAAGAACCCTATAAGTGGGCCCTCCAGGGTGGCACAAGGGGTTAAAGCACAGGACCATGAGGCTCGTTACAACTGAGTTTGAGCCCCGGCCAGGGAGGTGACCCTCATGGCTCCGCAGACCTCTCCTGACCTGCCTGCTGCTCCCCTCAGCAGTGTATTTTGTAGAGCTGTCTAGTCTGCTCCCCACTCTGCCTTTGGTGACTCCTCTCACTGCCCCTGTACCTCTGGCCTGCACCCTAGTTCTGTATGCATAAATGAATCTTCAAAAAAAAAAAAAAGGGACTGGGGTACAGGTCAGTAGTGCAGGGGTGGGGTGTGTGTGTGAGACAGACTTCACCAGAGACAGAGTGGGGAGGAGGACAGGTGGATGTACTAAATACACTGCCGAGGGAGCAGCAGGCAGGTCAGGAGAGGTCTGCCGTGCCATGTGGGTCAGCTCCCTGGCCAGGGATCAAAGTCATGCTGCAGGGGCTATGATAGCTTCAGAGTGCTGAGCTTTAACCCACTCTGCCCCCAAGGAGGACCCCTATAAGCATTTTGGATGACATCTCTACCTTAAAATGAGAAATAGCACCACTCTTGGCTTGTTTAGCAAATCTTGAACTTTTTTTTTAAGATTTACTTATTTATGCATACAGAGCTGGGGTATAGGCCAGGGGTACAGGGGTGGTGAGAGGATTCACCAGAGACAGAGTGGGGAGCAGAACAGGCTGACTGAGGAAGTACACTGCTGAGGGGAGCAGGAGGCCGGTCAGGAGAGGTCTGCTGCCATGTGGTCACCTCTGGGGCAGGGATCGAACTCATGCTGAAGTGGCTTTAGCTTCTCAGTGCTGTGCTTTAACCTGCTGTGCCACCAGGGAGGGTCCAAATCTTGAACATTTTTTACGATATGAAATTTTATTTAATGGGACCAATAATGATAACTTTCTTTTTTGCAAAACATTTCATGAAAATAGACAAGTTGACCCATTGGTTGGAGAGGAAAACATTTCTAGTGTTGCTACAAGAATTGTACTTTAGATTAGCACCAACCTAGAATGCCTTCGTTTCTCCATCTGATTCTAAGACGGAGATGACAATGTGACGAGATGCCTTGTGCTGCTGTTCACACGGAGGTTTTCCTGGTGAGATGGCCTAACAAACATGCAAGCAAAGTATCTACCGTTCCTTTTCATCTTTTTACACCTACTGTCTTGCCCTGGTCAAGGGAAAAGGAACAGCATGGTTGAACACAGATTATTCGTAATTAAGCCAGATATATTTGGGCCTAAAGGCAGGAAAGATAGATCTGAGGATACCCACTCACAGTCATTAAAATGTGAAAGAAAACTGGTCACTTAAATAATTACACAAAATTAATCATTAAACACGAGTGAGTATTCCCAAAAGATACAAAGGCCTCTTTTGTCGCATGAAGCATGTGCCAGGTGAGTGGCTGCGGTCATGGCTCAGAGGGTGTGGTCATGCTTGCAGGTACTCTCTGACCTTTAAGTAATGGATACAAGTGCCCGAGGGCACGGGCCAGTATTTTAAAGCATCTGTAGGGGGAGAAAGGGGAGCTGAAGGTTGGTTGTACTTAAATCTTTTTTTAATATTTATTTTTATTTATTATGCATACAAGAACTGGGGTGTTGGTCAGAGGTGGGGGGTGGGGATTGAGAGGATTTACCAGAGACAGAGTGGAGAGCAGAACAGGCGGATCTACTGAAACACACTTCAGGTGAGGGGAACAAGTGAGACAGGAGAGGTCTGCCGTGCCTTGTGGGTCAGTTCCCTGGCTGGGAACCGAACTCAGGCCAAACTCAAGCTGCAATGGCTGGCCAGAGCTTGATAGCACTGAGAATTTAACCCCTGTATCACCAGGGAAGCCTTGTACTTGGATCTCAAATGGAAAGCCTCAGAGAGAAGCATTCTCCCCACCCCCATACTGTATAGCATAAGAACTGATTGTGACTCCTTATACAAGTATTGAATTCACACTTGACATTTAGATTTTACTCTTGATTTGATCCTATTAGTGAGGAAGAACCAAAGTCATTGCCATCCCAGATTCCCTCTCCCATCTAACAATGTCAGCCCATCACAACCTGCCCTTCACGGCACTCCCATGTCCCCAAGGTGGACATGGGACCTGTCTCTTGCAAGCCCTATTTTGTCAGCCTAAACAAGCAAGGACCTAAATAAATGGCATTTTCCTTATTGTAACCTATATACAATGTAGAATTTGCAAGGAAATAGGCATAACCGAAAGCCATCCATAAGGTCTCAAAGGAGAGCATTTGAAGAATTTTCCTGCAGATTTATCCAGGTGTGCCAGAGAGGAAGAATTCCAGGCTCAAGAATAACATCAGCTCTGATTGTATTAAGACTTACAAAGAGCTCCCATTCATCTAGGTGCCGAGTCCTTTCTCTTGGGTCTTTGAGCCCTAAGCAGGATCTAGGAAAATAGCTTAGACCCAAATAAATCAGTTCTAAAAGAAAGAAAATCCCAAGGTGACTGTTAGCCACTCTGGCAAAATGAAGCGTTCCTCCCCAGGGAAGTAGTAAGTTATATATCACCACAGGGCCTTGCACAAGAACAGCTGGAAAGTTCCCGTTGCAGAGAATACAGCAGTCCCTATCCCTGTGGGCAGAGCTGTGGAAACACATCCGCCCAAGGAGGAAACAGCAGCTTTAGGGTTGGGCCCCCGCATCCAGCTCCCACCTCCCACTTAACTCTTTGGAAAGAATATGGGCGCACACATGACATGCGTGCCTCCCGGCTTCTGGTGGAGGGCGTCTCCTCTGTGCCCCACCGAGATAAACCAGGGCACAGAGAGGGAGGGGACATCCTTGCCCTCAGAAGAGTCATGTATTTAAGCGGCTTCAGCCAGGATCTGTCGGTGTTCATCGTCGTTGGCACTCACGTGAGCTGGCTATAATTTCACAAGGCAGGAATGTACTAGGAGCCAGAGGCCATCAGGAGAGACTAGGGGAGGGATCAGAGTTGTGTTAGGAGGGGCAGGAACATGTCCGCAGCTTATCATGCTTCTAACTGTCAGGTTGTGAGTGCGGTTTTTGCTCATTTTTTGGGATGTGTAAGTTTTAAAGCAAGTGCCAGGGACTTAACGACATATCCCCAAAACCTTTAAAATGCACACTTTCTGCTTGAAATTCTGCCACGCGTCAAGAGGTGGCCCAAAATTGCTCAAGAGTAGTGGAAAAGGATGGTTGTGAAATACAAGTGTACCAAGCATGTCAATTGGGCTTCTCTTTGCTTCTGGCCTGATGAAATAATTTTCTTGATGAAAGCCACTGAGTTTTAGCCAAGTACCGCAGCTGTAAATCCAGTTTGTGGGAACATGCGAGTTAAGAGACAGAAAGGTAAGAAGGTCGAAAGAGGCAAGCTGCCACTTTGGGATGGGTGCCTTGCTTCCAGGGGCCTGACTGTGCCCGGGGGCAAGGCTTAGAACTCCGAGCTCTACACAACACTGAATTATGATCCTTATCCTGTCTAGGACAACTGAATCTCAGGCTTAAGGCTAAGTTTCCCCAGTCAAAGTTAGGCTGGGACTGTTGAGGTCCCCTGGCTGTGTTCTTAGATGTGATGTGGGTGGTCTGCTGGGAATCATTGGCATGGCGAGGGTGAAATGTTGTGGACGATGGCTGGCCACATGCATGAAGTGCACCCCAATGCCAGACGATGGGAGGTGCTTGTGACATTTAGAGGTTTCTGAGGCAGGCTCTAGTTTAATTGTGAGGAACTGGTTACTTTTTCAGATTTGCAGCTAGTTGTAGGTAAAGGGGAGATGGAAGACTGGCACGACGCGGCCATATTGCATGCATGATGTCATGCCTTGTACCCACAGTCCTGGCAGCCATGCAGCCACATGCTTCCATTTTTCTTGGTATCTGTGTGCACTGAGGAGAACCATTCCTGGGATTGCTTGGGTTAAGACCTAATTCTTTGGTTACTCGATACCACCATAGAATTGTCTTAAGAACTAATAATAGGACAGCCTACCCACAAGTATAGCTACAGTCTACCTGGCTCTCTCTGCAAAGCCTGTAACTGATGGAAGGAGACAATACAGTCTTCTGGCCGATATTTGCTTGGTTTTCATCTTAGATGCTGTATTTATTTAAGTAAAATAGTCAAATGTTTAACTGGCTCAAGAGAAACTCAAGCCTACTTTTACATTTTGAAATATTTAGGGTGGCCCTATTTTAAGCCCCACGGATAAAGGACTGAGTGAACCTATGAATGCAGACTGAATTCATGCAGCCCAGAGATAGCATACCTCGTTTTCTGTCCACCTCTGTCCATTCATCTATATGAAGCATATAAAAAGAAAACACCAGTTCATGAAGCAAGAACATTATTTTCAAGGAGCCTTTAAAAGTACCAATCCCAATGATTTGGTCCATGTAACTTGACTTCTCAGGTTTGCTTTTATGTCAAATGTAAATTCTCTGCCTTCCATTTGAAACTCTTAAAAAGGTGATGGATGAGTAACAGATTTTTTTGAGAGGTTATATATTATAGTGAGAGGCGTGGGGAGAGAGGAAACTCAGGAGGACGAGGTACGGGGGATCTATCTGGAAAGGCTCAGAAAGTCATCTTCTCTAATGGTATGAGAATGGATATCCTTCAAGACAAGGTCTTCAACTTCCATGGAGGAAGACTAATTCTAGGACCAGGTAGAGAAAGGAATTTCTTTTCGAACAACCCGATTTATTTTTCATTTACTATTATTATTTAAAGAAATATTTAATAGAAGAACTGGGGTATAGGCCAGAGGTGCAAGGGGGTGAGAAGATTCACCAGAGACAGTGGGGAACAGAACAGGCATATTTACTGAAATTCACTGCTGAGGGGAGCAGCAGGCAAGACAGGAGAGGTCTGCCGCGCCATGTGGGTCACTTCTCTGGCCAGGGATTGAACTTGTGCTGCAGGGGCTGCAATAGCTGCATAGTGCTGTGTTTAAACCCACTGCGCCACCAGGGAGGGCCCAAGGATCAAAGTTTTAATGGTCTCTTTTGGAAACATTGGCCACTAGATGATTCAGACACTGTAATCAAAGCAAACATGTGTTTTCAATGCAAAAAACAAAAACAAACAAAAAACAAACCCCAACAAAAAAACCCCGATAGTTCCTAAGAGACCAGCCTGAAACACAGCTAGTTCCAAGTCCCGACTGGCAGTTCCCACCATTGTGGGAAAACTCACCACTGTTCTCCCACTAGTCACAGACTGTTGGAGAGAGGACACTGGGCAGGCAGCCCCAAAGGGCTGACCTTCTTAAAGCAGATACTGTCTTCTTTGGCATAATATCCCGTGCTATTTATTTACCAAGCAGCTTGCCTGGCAGGCTTGTGGGAATTCACAGAGATGGAGTTTCTACCCTCTGCAAGGAGGGAACAAAGGTGCTCACCTATCCCCAGGGCCAGGGACTGCCCGCTGTTGACAAAGAGAGATGGTAACGTGCGCCCTGGGTACCCAGGCACTGGCCCGGTAATGACACTCAGTTCCAGCAGAGGTCTCTGTAGAGCTGTGCGTTCTGACCAGTTCTCCTGAGGGAGGACCCAGGGGAAGGTAACCTTGGCCCTGTTTTTCTATCTTTTCTCCAGTTGACTTGTTAGTTACAGTCCACTTTAGATAGACCCAAACTCTGCAGCTGGCTATTGAATTGTAACTAGGAAATGAAAACTAGACCCTCTCCACCATTTGGTTGCTCAGTACCACACTGCCATCTGCTCCGCTGGGGCGGAGAGGGGTGGCAGGGGAATTCCTGAGTGGTTCTATCAGTTTACCCTTCTATAGAATGAGGGTTGTGAATAAAAGCAAATAGGGTCTTATTTACGAGTATTTTTGAGAAAACAAAAGTGAGGTAAAAGCAACTTTTCTTATTCTCACTATTGCTTAAAACGTGGAACAACATTCACTATGCAATCCTCAAAAGTTGCCCCATAGAGAGAACACTTCCTTTCTGTTGAATGCCAAACTAAAGGCTGAGTTGTGGGGGGTGGGGTGGGGAAGTGCAACACAGGCTTTGGCCTTGAGGGAGCCTGATGGGCTCCAGGAGACCAATTAGTTGTGTGAGATAATGGAAACATCTAGGAGAAATCCGATTTCCACTGGAAGCTTCTGGGAGGCCTCCTTTGCGTGTCTGGTGTTTTCTAGGCCTCTGTGCATAGGTGTCTGTCAGAGGCTCCTGTTCTCACAGCTACCCCAGGCCTCAGCAGCGGCATGTGAAGACTTCTCAACGTTTTGAAGCCTCCTCTTCCCCTGCATTCTCACACGGCCTCTACATCCCCATCGGCTCACTACATCCTCACATTTCTTTTATAAAGTTAATGGGTATATGATTTTTTCAATCCCTTCTCCCCTCTTAACCTTCCAAGCCCTACAGATTCTGATACCATCTCCCTAGGAAGGCCAGTAGAGTGCTGTGGTTAATGAAGGTCAAGTTGGTTAAGAGTTTTGAAGCCAATGATCTGGGTTCCAATCTTCTACTCTTCCTTCTTCCCTGCTGTGTGAACCAAGATTGGCCTTGGTTTCTCCACCTCTAACATGGGAATGATAGTGCTACTTACACAATAGGATAGCTGTGGGGATTACGGTGTTTAGAGAAGACCATGGTACATGGGAAGGGCTTTGTGTATGTCATTGTAGTAGTTAGGAAGCAGCATCCCTCAGTTTTAGAATATTTCTGCACTGGGCCAATCTATAGCTATAGCCAGTGAATGTGCAGAAGGCCATCTCACATGGTCGTCTGACACTCTGCCAAACTGGAAGGAATGAGGGTGTGAACGTGAATTACTAAGGATGGTTGCACCTCCCTTAAGCTGTCTGTAGCAAACCCAGAAGGCTATAAGTCCTGAAGACAAAGGAAGCTAGTCTTGCCCAGACTTCTAGAAAAACAACATGTGCTACTCATTGTGCTAAACATTTTACGTACATTAACTCATGTGATCCTTACAACTTTGCTGTAAGGTACATTATTATTCGTCTCCCCATTTTATGGAAAATAACAGGCTTGTAGCGATCATGCTCTGAGGTCATACACTAGTTAAACAGCAAAGCTAAAGTTGGGGCCCATATCTGTAGGACTCAGGGAGGCTTGCTAACTGACACTGCTTTCCAAGATGCAGGCCATGGGCCCAAGAACTACCCGTCAGCTCACTGGTGCCACAAGCCTGACAGACACCCTGTCACAGGGGCCAAGGAAAACCACCTTGAGGAAGAAATAGCACTATCATATAAACCAGCCAATTTAGATGATTCATTCAATAGACTGTACTGCAATTTATAGTCTGGTCTAGGCATTATGCTAGGTACTGGAGCACAAAGGTGAGTAAGACAAGCACATGGAGGAGGCAGGCACATACAACCATTTCAGCATCCAGGGCCGGCGAAATAAGGCAGAGAGGCACATGTGGGCAGCGGTGGAGGATGTGCAGGCCCTGTCCCATTGGGGGCTTCCTGAAGATGAATCTTAGTGACTAATGCAGAGTGGAAGAAGAGTTATAGTGTGGAAATGGGAGGACTGGGGTAGTGTGGGGACTGCCAGCATGAAAAACAGGAGCAAGTCTGGTATTAAGATACAAAGCAGGAGGCAGGCGGTAGGCAGCAGTGGGAGGGACTGCAGAGGGGCACAGGGATCAGATCAGGAAGGGGCCTGCCAGGGACTTGGCTGCCAGCCAGACAGCAGTGAAAACTGACAAAGGGTTTTAAGTTGGGGGGAAAGGATGGACAGATTTGCAGTTAGATAGCTCACTGACAGCCTGTACAGAATGAAGGGGATGCTATAGGGATTTCTTTTTCTGTTTATGCACAGACTTGGAGTCAATTGCACTGGCACAATAGTGAATACCTAAATATGCAGGCTTAACATCTGAATATGTATGTCTAACATCAATTGAGCAAACAGAGCCTGTTGAAGAGAATAATCAGCAGCCATGTTAGCTACATTTATATCTTCCTCTACCTTGAAATGTAATATTTCCTTGATGCCTAATCCCAGAAAACTTGGTGAAAGTGGTTGCTGGTTGAGAAGAGAGGAAAAGGAGAATGGTGCATAGAATTGGGGGGGGGGAGATATTTTGCATTTTCAAAATTCTTATGTGATTATATCCACGATATCACTCTTCCAAAAGCTGTGAAAGGAATGGCATAATTTTCTATTTATCTATGTTATTTTGGAACCCCAACTTTATAGAAATATCTTCTGAAATTAGCAAGACTGGCCTCCAGCTTATAAAGGAGAATGTTACACAGAGTTAAGGAAGATCAGAACCTGATTTGGGGGGTGGGGAAAGAGGAAGAGGATGCCGGGACCAGCAGAGCATGTTCTAGAGAGAATTCTCTAGAGAGAATTCCTACATTTGGGAGGACTGGTTATCAAGATAGATTGGGAAATCACCTCCCCAATTCGAGGGGAAGGGGAATTCAGGGACAGGGGTTGGAGGGGGAGATTAAAGTAACCTAACACTAGCCGATGAGGGGGTATTACTTCCCTCTGCTGTGAATGAATGGGTCTTTTGGGAAGTTGACTATGGAAGGACTCTGGTGAGGCTGTGGATTGTGAGTAAGGTCCCTGGTTATAGGAGCGCAATGTACAGGGATGATGGTCAATCTGTAAAGCGGCCTGGCTGTGAAGGTCTGGCTGTGGGACTGGGGCGGCGATTTGGGGGACCGGTTGCGGGGCGTGGGTCTGGCTGTGCGGGCCGGGGCCTCTCACCTTTGCGGGCCTTGTCTGCTGGGATGTTCTGGGCTCGCAGCCGCTGGTCCAGGATGTAAAGCATCTCCCCGCCCAAGTTCAGGAAGAGTAGCGGTAGTGTGCGCAAGGACATGGTGCCGGAAGCGAGCAGGGATGATGAAGAACCCTGGAGCTAGGTAGCCAGAGGCCTGGAGGCCCCGCAGCCGCGTCCTGTGGCCTAGTTGCTAAGGCAACGCGGCTGTGGGAAAAGGCAGCCAATCAGCAGGCGATTTGTTGGGAGGCGTCTGGGGGCGGGCGCTTATTGGGCTGGGTGGCTGAGACCCCGCCTTGGCGATGGGTGGGCGCGGGGGCCGAGTGCCGGAAGCGTGGGTTTTGAGTTTTTCAGGACCAGAGGCGGGTCCGCCAGCAGGGCCGAGGGGAGGGCGAGCGGCGACGGCCCATCCCTGATCTCGCGACCCCCTCGCCCAGCCTTCCGCGCGCCCCGGCGCCACGCGCGGGGATCACCCACGTCAGATAGCTTTGCTGTTCACGACTTGAGTCACGGCCCCGCTGTTACCTAGCTGGGCAGCTTTGGGCAGGTGACAGGAGCCTCGGCCTGTCCTTCGCAGAGTAGAGGTGGTACCCACCTCACAGGAGTGCAGAGAGGACTCGACGAGATCCTGCAAAGTGCCACGACTTTTGTTTTCGGTGGGGCAGGACATGAAACCCTGAAATTATTTGCGTCTCCACCCTAAAAGCCACTTGTAGTGACACCCCACGGGGTTTCTACCCTGAAGAGAACACGGTGTTCTGTTTCCTTCCAGCGGTGCGCACTGGGAGCCCTGGAGGTGCCTGTTTTCATTCCTGTGAACAGGCCTCCCATCCATTCTCTGTGCTTTTGAGTTTAAAAAATTTTTTTTTACTTATTTATGAATACAAGAGGTGGGGGTGTAGGCCAGAGATGTGGGAGGATGCACCAGACAGTGGGGAGCAGAAGAGGCGGATTGCTGAGGGGAGCAGTGGGCAATAGGACTGTCTGCTGGACCATGTGGGTCAGCTCCCTGGGACTCAGGCTGTGGTGGCGGCTATAGCTTGATAGCGCTGTTTGACCCCTGGGCTGCCAGGGAAACCATTTCTCCTTCTGAGGGCAGGACCTAGAACTTCACTTCCAACTTAACTCAGTATCACCTTCCCGCCAACCGCTGTCTGTAAACCTATATTGCTGCTCAACTTTGCTTCGGGACACCCAGACTTGCAACCTGAGCCCTGGCTTTCAGCTCTTGCTGGGTCTCGGCATCAAACACCAAATTCTACATTTGCCTCCAAAATTTCACGTTTCCCTTTCCTTTTTCTGTCTGTATTACTGTTCGGCCACATTATGGCTCCTTTTTTCTCTCACACTGACTGCTAGGCTCAGTTTCAGAAAGCACTACTTCAGCGACACACCCCTCCAGTGGCCTATTACTTTTCTAGGTCAGTCTAGATGACTCTAGACTGCATGGCAATCAAACGCTGCACTGTTTTTCTAGAGACATCTTCCCCTCTCCCCCAGGCCACATCCAGCTGAATGCACCTCGCCACCAAGTTGCCCCTTCTATGGAGCATCACCACACCCAAGGGGTGGGTGAGTGCTGACATTCAAGAACACGCCCTTCCCACACTTTCTCTCGTCTTTGGACATCCCTTTGATCTGTCTTTCCTCCTCTTGGCTTGCCTCAAAGGCTCTCCTTGCTCAGAATGAAGCCAGGTCTCTGCTGTCATGGACCGAATGTTTTCCCACAAATTCTTATCGTAAAGCCTGAGCACCCAATATGATGGCATTTGGAATCCGCATCTTTAGGAGGTGATGAGGACTTGAGGGGTGGCCCTCAGGGTGGACCTTGTGAGACACAAAGTGATGCAAGTCAGGAAGAAATGGGTCAGCACCTTGCTCTTGGATTTCTTGCCCCTAGAACCATGAGAAAGTATCTGCTGCTTCAGCCACCGAGTCCTTTTCAGTGGCAGCCTGAGTAGATGAACACACCCAGAAAGCTCTGTCACCTGTATCTGCTTACCTCCCTGACCCCTGGCTTTTCAGTTTTAGACAGTCTTCCTTGGGTTCTTCATGCATGCTTAGACATGCTTAGGCTTAAAGGTCTGGGCACTTAACCTGGCAGCTTTTTGGGGACAGGTGTATCTATCACCTCCCAGAGTTTTTATGCAATGTTTTGTATTTGTGCTGGGAACTTGTAGCTTTGATCAGATTCTGAAGCTGAACACCAGTGCTCCTACTCAACAATATGTTGATCTCACCCCTCCATGCTGCTGCTGCTTAACTATCTAGAGCACAGGTGTCTTGCTTTCATTACTCCTTTGGTTTTGAAACCTAACTGCCCCCCCGCCTCTGCCCAGGAGGCAATGCAGTCTTCCCAGACAGCATATCAACTCTGACATAGCCCTGCTTCTGTTTACCTGTTCTGCTTATTTTTGATACTGTTCTCTGAATATGGCCCACACCTGTGGGCCTCTTTGCCTCTGTACTTGCAGGTCCTTCTGTGGGGGATCCTTCCCTCCCCTCCCCACTTCTGCCCCGTGAACTTCCACTCATGCTTTAGGGCCCATTCCAGAAGGCAGCTCCTGCAGCTGTCCTCACCCGGCAGCCAGCTAGCCACACTGTGCTGCTGTGTGCTCAGGCTCACCTCCGCTGAAATGACCCCTGCATGACAGCGAGCTGTTTGTCAAGTGTGCTAGTTGTGTTATAGTGTCTCTGGCACGAGGGAAGGACTGCTTCAGACAACCTGTGTCCCAGAGCCAAATGAAGGAATTTCTCAGGCCACAAACGCCCAACTTCTGTTATTCTTTAGGGCAAAAGAATCAAACTTTAACAGTAATTATTGGTTATTGCTGATTGTCTCTGGTTCAACTTTGGAGGGGCTCCTTGGGCCCCTCTGATCCTGCTTCTGTGCTGCTGCAGCAGCTTTCAAGGCCCTTCTTTGCTTCTTCAGTTTCTGAGTCTCCTGGAAAACCTGGGGATGAAAGGAAAGAGGAAAGGACTTTTTAAACTTATGGAAATATGATTCAGAGCAGGTGGGATGGGAACCCTAGCCCGTCTCCCAGGGCTGGTGGGTCTGGGACCACTCAAAACCCTGAGGCCAGTTTCTGCTGTCAGAAACTTTCCTTCTCCTCGTTCTGCCACAGTCCCAGGGTGGCACCAGCCAAAGCAGTAATTCAGACTCATACCTGAAGGCACAGAGCCTTCTTGGCCACCAAGCGGCGGTGGGCTTTTCGGTTGTAAGGAGGGGGAAAGGTGTACTCGATCCCTAGCTCCTTGCACGTCTTCTCAAAGACATCATAGTTGGTCTTGCGGAGATTTTTGAGCATCCTTTTCCTCTGGTCAAGGCTCATCAGTAGAAAGCGCTTGTGGGCTTTGTCCTGCAAGAGAGGGTACTGTTAGCACCAGAATGTAAGTGGTGTGCCATTTCTAATGACGAAGGGTGGTTATTTTATCACATCACTCAAATTTTCCAAAAATCTTATGCAAATATTAGTGTAGCTCTGAGGTATTATTACTGCTATTCCCATTTACAGATGGGGAAATAAAGGTGCAGAGAGTTGTCTGATTCATCAAAGGTCCTAGGAGTGGGGAACTTGTGTGAGGCCTAGGCTGGAATGTGGGTCTCCTGGCCTGACCCAAATCTGACGTGATTTTTCCCACACCACTTGTTCCGTCTCTCCACAGCTCAGCAAACTATCAGCTGGGGTGGAGAGGAAGGAAGGCCTCACATTCTTCCTGGACACCCTCTTTTGTAGTCAGGTGCCGTTCCGTGAGGACCTCTCAGGGGCTAGTGGTCCACTGCACACGAAGAGTTAGGTCTCCAGGTAGGTGCCACCAGCCCGAGGGAACAGAGGAGCCAGCTAAGGAGCTTCTCAGTCTGTATTCACAGCCTTGTACTAGAAATACCATCAACTGCCTGACAATTACAGCTGCTCTGTGCCCAGCACTGTGCTGAGATAAGGCCTGATGGTCAGGAGCAGGAGCCCTGGGGCAGGACCACCTAATTTCAGTCCTAGCATTCATGCCACACCGAGCTTGTCCTGTGAAATGGGACACAAAGATGGTGGGAGGGTTCGATGAGCTGCTGATGCATGTCAAGTATTTAGCACAAAGCCCACATATTCATCGTAATGACTATCATGACTCCCATCTTACAGAGAGAAGAACTGAGGCTTGTGTATGTGAAGGAATTCCCCGATGTCACACAGCTAGTTAAGTGGCTGTGGCCGAGCTGGGGTTTTAACTCGGGGAAATCTGAGCCCCTTCACACATTCAACAGATAGTTGCTGAGCTGTATCTGCCAGACACTGGCTATACTTGTGTTCTCTCCACTGGTGACATCCAACACAGCCCTGTAAGACCCCTGTTTCTCCACTGGAGGCAAGAGTGGCAGGCGGGCCAGGGCGTGGCCACCCGGCTTGCCACTGGGCCACCTCTTGGACCTAGAGCCCTTCACCTCCGGGCCTTCTCCCCTGGCGGCTGGGGTTCAGCCCAAGGATGCCCAAGGTTTACCTTTCGATGTTTCTGCATATGTTCTTCATAACTGTGGATCTTGACAGTCAAGGCAATAACTGAAACCACAAACCACAGAGGATGAGAACTGGGCACAGAGGAAGGAAGGGCCTAGGCCCTGAGTTATGGCTCAAGAGCTTAAGGAATAACAACCACCTCTGCTCTGGTATAGCACGTCACACCTTCCAGAGCTCTGTTTCGAGAGCTCGAAGGACTGGGTTACGTTTCCTTGACAAAGCAAAGTCTAAGGAAGGGAAGTTCCTTAACCTCACGAGGTTTCATTCCCAAACACAGCAAAACTGAATTCAGCAGTTAGTCTAGGGTGCGCGCTCTAATGGTTAAAGGTTCACACTGTACTGCAGGGACTAGCCAGTTCCACAACTGTCAGGTCTCCTCTGTGCTGCTCCCCCACCCCCATCTGAGTTTATCACTCATCTCCTAGAGTCCCAAAATTTCCTTCCTTCAGGTGTCTTCTTGTTTGATTCCTGCCTGTATTCAAAAATGGCAGCAAAAGCAAGAGAGGAGAGGCTGGCACTACAGCAGACCCTCCTCGAATATACACGGAGTGCTGCCGCGTGAGCTGTGGGAGCCACATGGTCTCTTCACACCACCTCAGCTGCAGAGTGGAGAGAGACAGACACGAGCTTTGGTTTCTTAGGGAGCTTGCCTGAGCTCACACTGAGGTACAAGGCAGGACCTCCAGCACCAGAGCTCAGGACAGTCTGGTTTTTATTGCCCTTGAGGCTGCCCGTCTTGTCCTTTGAATGAGCTATATCTAATTCCTAGTGCACCTGAAGACAAGGGCCCTGGATCAAGTACAGTTACCGACTCACTCCCCTGCACCCCACTCCCCAAGGGCTCCTTGACTAACTTTGAGCCTCCAGGGATTTGGTGTCCTCAGGGTTTGCTGCGATCTTGTTCATCAACTGCTCCTGCTTAATTTTTAGCTTCTCCTTCTGTTGAAGGTAAACAGAGAATTTGTGAGATTTGGTACTCTCGAAGAATTAACCCTCTTACCTCCAAGGTCATGGCTGCAGTCACAGGAACTAGGCCATGAGGCTCAGGACAGACCTTACTCGCTCACCAGGGCATGGCCTCTAGCCAGCCGTGGGGTAATTCATATCTAGTGAGCCAAGGCAGCAGGAGAAATGGCTGTGGGCTGAATGTCCCCAAAGCCTCCCCATTCACTTGGGCTCCAATCTTTATTGAGCCTACTGTTTGTCAGTGCCGGGGAGTAAGACCAACCCTGCCCTTGGGTGCTCAGTCTGGGGGTGTTGGCAAATGGACACAGACTAACAGTGGGGCAAGTGCTGTGACTGGAAGCATGGGATGGGAGCTGTCATGGGCGGGAGGGTGTCCCGAGGAAAGGGCTGGCATAGGTGGGGTTTGGCACAGGCCACTCACCTTGTTGGCCATTTCCAAAGACAAGAGTCTTTTCACAACATCATCCACCCTGTGGAAAAACCGTAGCAATGGGAGAAAAGAATAGGGAGAGAGGAGAAAAAGGGACGAACCCTGTTTTCATTAGATTGAAAAATAAAAATGAAGATTTCTTTTATAATGAATGAACAGGGGCATCATTTCCCAGGGACTAGAAATCAATGTGTATCTGATTTATGGGAGAGAACAGGGCACGATGTGATAACCCCAGAAAACAGGGGCTGTGAGTACAAGTGTTCCAGGCTCATCACAGGGAGGACAAAGGGAGAGTTTGCATTTTAGCTAGAATATGGCTCAATCTGTCTTGACATGTCAATGCTATAGTCACTGTTTCTTTTTCAAGTCACAGTTGGGGGGGGGGGAGGGATTACCCAGCTCCTGTACCAAGTAAAGTAGAGCAGCTAAGTAGAGAATCTTAATTTCTGTGCTGTTTATCCTGGATTCAAACCCCAGCTCTGCCCCCTTGCCATTGTCTGGCATTGGCTAGCTTGTCAGTCTGTACAAGATGGACACCATTTCTTCCCTCACAGACCTTTTGAGTGGATTAAGAGATGAAAGGTTTGTACAAAGACCCATGATGCAACATGTTCCCTTCTTGGTATCTAGAGGTCTGGGGTCTTTACCCAGAGTACAAAAAGAGCGAGGAGGCACGCTCCATCTGTTTTGTGCCTAGATACCCTGTCCGTGTCTGGGCTTCTGTAGTTCTCTGCCCCACTCTGTAATCAAGCTTCATTCTGGAATCACAGCCAGTTTTCCCCCTCTCCTTGCTGATCTTTCCAGGGTGCCCTGACTCCTCAAAGAGATTTCGTCCTGCTTACTTCTCAATTCCAGGGATGTTCTGGTAGTCTTTGAGCAGCGTGGACGGGGGTGGATCATCTTCTCGGCTGGGTTGGACTGTCAAGTATAAGGATGGAAAACACCCCGAGTCAACTTTCACTGTCATTCCTTCCAAACCTAGCTCTTTTCACCCAATTCCCTACCTTTTATTTTTATTTATACAAGAAATGGGATGTAGACCAGTGGTGAAGGGGGGAAAAGATTCCCCAGAACAGAGTGGGGAGCAAAATAGGCAGATCTACTGAAATACACTGCTGAGGACAACAGCGGGTAGGTCAGGAGAGGTCTGCTGTGCCCTGTGGGTCAGCTCCCTGGCCCTGGATGGAAACTCCTTCAGTAGGCCTGCAGCAGGGCCTGCAACAGTGTGACAGCTTCATAGTGCTGCAACTTAACCCTGTGTCACGGGGAGGCCTGGGATCCTGACCAATGTATGGACTTCCTTGAAATGGGAAACCATGCCCTCCACCTCAGAGGGTTTGGGAGAGTGCCAGCAACCTGCTCTCTCTGGCTTGCCCATCTTCATTTCCAGACAGTCCAGAGGCTCCCACACCTACCTACATTCCATCTCCTCTTCGTCTCCTATGCAAGCTTCAGACCTACAGTTTTGTGTCGAGGTAGATGTGGGCGTCTGAGGTAGATGTGGGCGTCTTCTGCTCAGGACCTCTGGACCAACCCTTTGCTTATTTAATGGCACTAATCAGCAACCTCTGTCCCCCGTGGCCCCAAGATTTTCAAGCAGATTCTCCCCAGGTCTTACCCCAAGAACTCCTACCTTGTTTTTGGATGGCATATTCACGGGTGGCGTGCAGGATAAGACCTACATGGAAGAGAGAGGGTTGAGGCTCGCGGCTTAAGCAGTCCAGTCTCCCTCCCTTTCTATAGTCCTTGCAATGCACTTCTTCCATGATCTTTGCCCTTCTGTGCCTAACAGCCTCCCATCTCGCCTTATTCCTCTCCACCTAACACCTTTTCTCTCTCACCCCGTTGCACCTGTCCCCCATTCTCGTCCCCCGGAATCCTCTCTTTCCGCGGAATCCCTTTCCCCTACTCCTAATGTTGGGTTTCTCAGCTCACCTCGAGGAGCTGAGGGAAGGCCCGGTCGGTCAGAGGGGACCCTAGTGTAGCCCCCAGCCGGCAGCCCAAGAACTGGGGCTTGGGCCCGTGCAGGGGTCCGAACAGAACCCAGCGCCCTCCAAGCTGCTCTCAGCATGGTGATTTCTAATCCCCGCAGGGCCCGCGCCTCGGCGCCGAAGCCTTGGCGGTACGGACTGAGTTACATGGGCGCCGCCATGTTAACTCAGGCTCGACCAATCGAGTATCGTCGCAAGGCCGGAGCAGATGAGGCCCGAGAGAATGGATTAGAAGGCTGGACGCCGATGACGCGTAGAGGGAGTGGAGGGGTCTGGTTAGCGATTGCAGGAGGCTGGGGAGCTCGGAGGTTGCAACACCTTGTCATGGGTGGGTGGTGCTGTATTCATCCTAAGATGCTGCTTTTTCTTAGGCATGCCTCTCGCCCTTAATTCCACTGTATAATTTTGGTCTCGGGCTCCGGTTATTTTGGGAGCGTCTGGATGTTCCATAGCCGTCTAGCTCAGATCCAAAATTTCCACCCCACTCCTCCCATAAAGTCCAAGACGGGGGTGGGGGTGGGGGGCGCTGCAGGAACTACTGGCTCTCAGCCACCTCTCTGGCAGCCTTGTGGCCTGGTGATTAATGCCCTTGATCCTGGAATGAATCAGCTGTGGGCTGGCACGCTAACTCACCTATTAATTTACTCATTGTGTGATTCTGTGGACCAGTCACAACCTTTCTGGGTCACATTGCCTTCATCCTTCAAATGAGGATGGTAATAGCAGCATCTATCTTTATCTTTTAGCATGTTAGAGGATTAACTGAGGCAGCTATGTGCAGTACTATTGCTGTATAGTGAACATTGGTTCAACAAATATTAGCTGTGATACTATTTGTGAAACAAGTAGTTTAAGGACAAGTATACATTAAATATAGGAAAAATCAAATTCAATTCTCCCTGCACCCCTCCCCCCCACCCCAGGGAAAAGCCACCTCCCCGATCATATTTTTACAGAGCATTTAGTTCAGGGTACTTGAACTGTCCTTTGGAGATAAATGTAAATCTTTTAAAAAGCTAAAAGCCCTTCTGGCCAGTTTTATGACCGGGGAATTTTTTTT